AAACCTCCCCCCCATGTTACCCCCAGCTTACCCCCTGGTGGGTTACCCTAGAAATCCAAACCACTTGACAGGGGAAGGGCGGGCCAAAGGCGGAAGCAGCACTCGGATCCTCTGCTTCGACCGGGATTCTTTTTTTTTGGCGAAACTCCATTTTGCCTGTGGCGAGACGATTTTACTCGGATTTGACTCGGATTCGGCGCAAAAGGGTGCTGGAACTTACAGAATCCAAACCACCTGATGGCGCAACGAAATGGTCGCAAGAGTGGTTACACTACCGGTTTGGATTATCGACGGTAGCACGAAAGCGACGTCGCAACCACTGTTCTACAGTATTTGTATATAAACTTTGTTGTTGATTGACACTTTGGTGCAATTCTGACAAGCAGAATGTCAAAATTGCTAAGTCAACATTTTATATGGTTTGGCTCATAACTCCATAACTTGTTGGTCATTTCCACACAAATATGGATTTCCAGCATCTCCTTCGTGTCCTCTACAAGCGGGCATGAGTTTGTTATTTTGTCAAATTTGTTACATTTTGTCACTTTTGGGTCAACTAAGGCTGCTCATAGCACATGTAAAGTCATTTTCTGGGCATCAGACACATGTGTTATGTGGTTACCATATTGTTTTGCATTGTTAACACCTGTTCCAGCCCCCCTGAACATTTTCAGCTCTATGTAAACTGATTTGGTGGACTTATTTTTGCAAGGAAGTTAGTGCTGAGTTGCCTGGTGTGATGTGTTAGGTGAAATCACCCACTTCTCCTTGGGAAAATGAGCCCATTTTGATAGGGCACCGTCATCACACCAATTCCTGATCCCCATCCAGTTTTCATTTCATTTCATCAAGGTTTGCCATGCTTTTCATGTTATATTCTGCAGGCGGGTGCAGAATTCTGTGCAGAAATGCCTGGAACCATGTTTCTTGTAAAATCAACCACTTTGCCTTGGATAAATGATCTGATTGTCATAGGGGACACTCATCACACATATATCAGACCCCCCTCTGAAATAAATCTGATTTGTCCAGTGTTTGATAAGGGTTTTAAGCCTTGTAGTACAGCAGACTGCAGAATTCTGTGCAGAATTGCCTTGAATCAGGTTGCAACTCAAATCACCCACTTATCCTTAAGCAAATGCGCATTTTTTAATCAGGGACTCTCATCACGCATATTCCAGACTCCCCTCAAAAATTCATCTAATTTGCGCAAGGTTTGATATCGTTTTTAAGCCTTGCTGTGCAGTAGTCTGCAGAATTCTGTGCAGAATTGCCTTGAATCAAGTTGCAACTCAAATCACCCACTTATACTTGGGCAAATGAGCTGATTTTTAAAGAAGATTCTTATCAAACATATTTCAGACTTCCCTCGGAAATTCACTTCATTCGCCCAAGGTTAGATATGGTGTTTAAGCCTTGTTGTGCAGTAGTCTGCATAATTCTGTGCAGAATTGTCTTGAATCAGGTTGGAACTCAAATCACCCACTTATCCTTAGGCAAATGAGCTGATTTTTATAGAGGACTCTCATCACACATATTTCAGACTCCCCTTGGAAGTTCATCTAATTTGCGCAAGGTTTGATATGGTTTTTAAGCCTTGTTGTGCAGTAGTCTGCAGAATTCTGTGCAGAATTCTCTAGAATCAGGATGTAATTGAAATCACCCACTTTTCCTTCGGAAAATGAGCTGATATTTAAAGGGGAATCTCTGTACACATATTCCAGACTCCCCTATGAAGTTCAGCTAATTTGCTCAAGGTTTGGTATGGATTTTAGGCCTTGTTTTGCAGTAGTCTGCATAATACTGTGCAGAATTGTCTGGAACCAGGTTGCAACATAAATCACCCACTTATTCTTAGGTAAATGATCTGATTTTCATAGAGGACCCTCATCACACATATTTCAGACTCCTCTCTGAAATTAATCTTATTTGCCCAAGGTTTGTTATGGTTTGTAAGCCTTGTTGTGCAGCAGTCTGCAGAATTTTGTGCAGAATTGCCTTGAATCTGGTTGCAACTCAAATCGCCCACTTATCCTTGAGCAAATGATCTCATTTTCATAGGGGTCTCTCATCACACGTATGCCAGAGTCCACTATGAAATTCACCTCATTTCGTAGAGGTTTGATATGTTTTTCATGCTCTTCTCTGCAGGCGGGAGCAGATAACTTTGTTGAAATGTACAACATTTGTTTTTTATTTAAATGCCATTGCTATACGGGTGCTAATGAGCCCTTATTGATAGAGCAGTCATCTCACACTTATAGGATTATCCGTTTTAGAATTGGGTGTGCTAATCATGCAAAGTTCATGCTTGTGTTTGTTTTATGGGTTACAAAATCTAGCACTATACGTGCTACGCGAGTACCCCTATAGTGGTATTGTGGGATGTACACGGTCATTCGATTTCTGACACGTGTGACAGGTCGCAGAGACTTCTCTTTTTCCACTTTGCGGATGGAACCTTGCGGATGGGATAGTTATACGTGGCAGCCTGTCATGAACCTGTAAGAGGATACCTTTCTTTTTTTTTTAGGGGCTGCCCCTCCACCATTTCGTACAAGGTCGAGGCAAAGGTGAGAGCATGCAATGCACCGCATAACATGCAGTATGCTTATATGGCATATAAGGTTGGCAATCAACCAACCAGCAACTGAAGTAGATGATTGAGGAGAACATTCTGGCGACAAAAAGGCCAATCGATGCAGAAGGAGGCAAAAAGTAGTTCGCAGATGTTCGAAGGGAAATGGTGAGGAGCCTAATATTTTGATGTAGGGGGCAAAAAAGTCTTACTACGCCTGGCGTTTGTAGCAAAGCCTTTCCTACCTTCTGTGAGGACGAGAGCACAACCAATTTTACCAGCGAAGCAGAAGTTGTTATCAGGGTGGGTGCACCAAAGCTCAAGGTCATTCTCACCATTCCAATTCGAGTTTTGGTTCCACAACTAGCCTCCTCACAAGCTTCCCTCTCTTTTAACTATCGGCCTCAAATCCTGCAGGCGGACAGTGTATGGTAGTAACCATGTAGCTATCTGCCTTCTTCTGGCATATTTACGCGATGTCGTCCCAGTTAATCACAGATGGCTGCGGATTGTCTATACGACTAGGGCGGGAGTCTTATGAAATGTTAGTTGCTCGTCAGGAAGAGTGGAACGAGGCGTTGTTACTTTTCGGCCTTGTGTATGTATCCAAGCGCGGTTTGTAACGCACGCCGACTTCATCGGCACGTTAAACCTTTGTATTTTTAGACACGCACCTGCTATCTTCTTACCGCTGCGACATGTCGGCTTGGATGCAGGGAGGTTGCCAAGGACAAGATCGGGGATCCTCGCGTTCGCAGTGACATAAAGATTCTGGCTCCTACCGAGCATCGGCGTTTGAGGTCGGCCGTCCCGCGTGTCCTCAATTGTGGCAGCGAACATCGGTCGCTGTTGGACTACCAGATGGTTTTAATACCCATGATATCAGAGTGAGTTTCTTTACATGGATCCGCAACGTCTGTGGATGACGCTTATCTTGCTAATCCAAACTGCGATGTTCCGCAGAGTCCCTGTTGTTCACTCGACGGCGATCAGTCTCATGGTGGTGGTGAACCCCCAAGATCTGTTAGCACATCCCCAGGGAGAGCACCGTACGCGTGTGCTACACTTTGACCCTAAATCTCCAATCCCAACCCATCGCCACAGCGACCATGCCAAGGAGGTGTTCGAGTAAGTTTCACTCCTTCATCAGATGTGCGGTTTGTGTGGACGCATGTTATTGATTATTTGCGACCCCCTTGCCCTGCAGCTGGCTTATCCGACAACTAGATGTGGAATACAGCCGAGGTCGCAGGGTCTGTGGCAGCCACGCCGAAGCGGTGCAGAAAGATTTGAGGGATCGCCTAGAGGAACTGATTCTGGAGGAAGGCAGGGTAAGGAGCCTCTATTTTTATTATTTAAGCGTTGTATGATATTAAGCTTGTAGAAAGTTACGGGAGTGTCTGACAACCACCTTTTCACGCACATGTTGCAGATCAACTAGGTTCAGGGACAGAGGCAAGTGGGTTCCGGGCTGCACGTTACCCATCTGTTTAGCAAGTTGCTGGACAAATGGGGGGATGTCATGGCGATTCAAACTGCAGAGCCGATGATCGCCTTAGGGAAGGGGAAAAACAGCGCGAGAGAAATTCGTAGTATGCTGGAGTCGACCTGCAGAGCCTTCTTCGACCTGCAAGGAGTCCAGCTCCGTCCCGCCCCGGATGCAGTCATGACGACCCATGAGCCTTGAGTGGTGGAGAGCGCACTGGAACGGTCTCGGAATACCTTGGAGCCGGCGGCACAGAACAAATCTGAAGCGGTAGAGGGACAGAGAGACGTACCTGCTGCAAACCGGGACGCAAATGTAAGAGTGGGGACAATTTCATATTCACGCCGACCTGAACCGGGGGGTGTACTACTGAGTGACCCGACATCAAGGTCATCCTGTGCAGACGAGCGTGTTAGGTCTGGAGTTAGGCAGCTCAGGTCTGCTGATCGGGTTAGGAGGCCGCCGCAACGCGAAGCACGGACGGAGATCGACTTGGCAAGTGTAGCAGATGAAGGCGAGGAGGGTGTAGAAGATCCACAGCTGCCAAGTCAGGTCGAACAGGCAGAGGAGCAGTGGAGGAAGGCGGCAGATGATAAGCGGATGGCCGAAGCAGAAGCCAAGAGGAGATGGGCTGAAGAGAGGCAATGGCGCCGTGATGGCGACACCGATCCTACCGTCTCTTTCCTGGGAACTGGAGATATACGTGAAGAATGGGAGAGTGGGGCACGAGCCGCTGCAAGGGCACACGTGGAAGAGGAGCTCGCTAGTAATGTGCGGCAGCATATCGAGGAGGATAGGGGATACGTGGAAGTTCGCTTGCCCAGCGTAAAGCGGAAGGTGGCAGAAGAGGCCCGGAGAGGGGACGTCGACGTGGCAGAGAATTCGGGAGAGGCGGAAAGGAAGGCGTAGAGCAACGCGAGTGCAAAGGCTCATAAGATGGCGGAGGTAGAGGCGGACCAGAATGCAGAGGATGCGGCCCATCGGTTCGTCGATGCAGAGGCGGCACTTACGGCAGAGGACGGGACGCCAAAGGAAGCAGAAGCTGCGGCGCAGCAGAAGGTGGGTGCAGATGCGGTCAAGAGTGCGGAGGCAGTCGGGCGTAAAGAAGCGGCTGCAACAGCAGAGCTGACGTCGGAGGCATTCGAGCTGCAGGTGGTGGAGGCAGTGGCGCAGAAGGAATCAGAGGCAACGGCGAGCCAAAAGGAATCTGAGGCAGCGGCGCAGCACAATGATGATGCAGACGCACACAAGGAATCACCGGCAGCAGCGCAGCACAAAGATGAGGGTGCGGCGCCGAGGATGGTTGAGGCAGAGGCGCAAAAGGAATCAGAGGCAGCGGCGTAGCAAAAGGAGGAGGGTAAGGCGTCGAAGATGGTTGAGGCAGAGGCGCAGAAGGAATCTGATGCAGCGGCGCAGCAGAAGGAGGGTGCAGCGCCGAAGATGGTTGAGGCAGAGGCGCAAAAGGAATCTGATGCAGCGGCGCAGCAGAAGGAGGGTGCGGCGCCGAAGATGGTTGAGGCAGAGGCGCAGAAGGAATCTGATGCAGCGGCGCAGAAGAAGGAGGGTGCGGCGCCGAAGATGGTTGAGGCAGAGGCGCAGAAGGAATCTGATGCAGCGGCGCAGCAAAAGGAGGGTGCGGCGCCGAAGATGGTTGAGGCAGAGGCGCAGAAGGAATCTGATGCAACGGCGCAGCAGAAGGAGGGTGCGCTGCCGAAGATGGTTGAGGCAGAGGCGCAGAAGGAATCTGATGCAGCAGCGCAGCACAAAGAGGGTGCGGCGCAGAGGATGGTTGAGGCAGAGGCGCGGAAGGAATCTGATGGAGCGGCGCAGCAGAAGGAGGGTGCGGCGCCGAAGATGGTTGAGGCAGAGGCGCAAAAGGAATCTGATGCAGCGGCGCAGCAGAAGGAGGGTGCGCCGCCGAAGATGGTTGAGGCAAAGGCGCAAAAGGAATCTGATGCAGCGGCGCAGCAGAAGGAGGGTGCGGCGCCAAAGATGGTTGAGGCAGAGGCGCAGAAGGAATCTGATGCAGCGGCGCAGCAGAAGGAGGAGGGTGCGGCGCCAAAATTGGTTGAGGCAGAGGCGCAGAAGGAATCTGAGGCAGCGGCGCGGTAGGAGGAGGGTGCGGCGCCGAAAATGGTTGAGGCAGAGGCGCAGAAGGAATCTGAGGCAGCGGCGCGGTAGAAGGAGGAGGGTGCAGCGCTGAAAATGGTTGAGGCAGAGGCGCAAAAGGAATTTGAGGCAGCGGCGCGGCAGAAGGCGGAGGCAGAGGAGCACAAAGAGGTTGCGGAAGAGGCACTACAACTGGCTCGGGCAGATGCGCGGAAGAAGGCTGTTGTAGAGGCGCGGCAGAAGGCGGAGGGTGAGGCGCAGAAGATGCCAGAGGCCGAGGAGCAGAAGCAGGCTGAGGCTGACGGACGTAGGAAGCCAGATGGAGAGGAGGGTTCAGATGGGAATAAAATGATACAGACAGAGGGACGGGAGACGGCGGGTGGTGAGGGGCACATCAACACAGAGGAAGAGGGGCAGCACGACGAGGAGGTAGCATCGCAGATAGTTGCATACCGAGAGACGCAGAGCATGGCAGAGACAGAGCGTCAAAATACTATGGAGGAGGTTCGTGTGGTCCCGGAGGCTGGAGTGGGGCACTACGAGGGAGATGCGCTGGAAACAGAAGAGGAGCAGAATGAGGAGGATACGGTACATCCGGCAGTCCGGATATTTTTGGGAGGAAGTCCGACGCGGGGACCAGGAACCGGGGTGGAGAGGCCATGGAGGGTGGCAGACGATGGGGCGCCTAGGGATACAGTGGATCTCAACAGGCAGAGGCGGCCTACCCTTCACCAGAGAACAGTGGAGAGGAATCTCGGCCAAGGCGGGGTGGCAGAAGCGTTTTGGCAGGTAGAGTGGGTCGAGGCAGAGACGGCAATACGGCGGATGATGCATCGGACGAGTACAGTCCTGGTCAAACAAGGTGACAGGTTCGTCGAGGCCGAAAGCTGGGACATAAGCCCGGCAGAAGTAACGCGTCGTCTCACGCTCTTAGCCCGAATGGTGACGCAGACGTTCTGCAACTTGGCGACCCGCAACAGCAGCATCAGTCGCGACGTGGCCAATCTGGCCGTCCATTATTGCCGCGACGCCCTGGCCAACCTGGAAGAAGTCCGCCATGGAAACGAGGAACGGCGGCGCCAAGCTGAAACGGCGGCCAGGTTTCGCGAGCAGGTGGACACGAGACTCTCCAACTTGCAAGAGAGTATCATAAGGGTGAGTGATCAAGTTCGCCAGTCGGGAGGGGGGATGGCGGAGGGCACGTTAAAGGGGGTGGAAGAGAGGTTCTGAGAGAAGACTCTGAGCGGCGGAACACGGATAGACTGCAAGACAAGGAGCGGAGGCAGAAGGCCACAAGGAAGGAAGCAGACGCCGCAGAGAGACAGAAGAAGGAACGACAGCAGGAGGAAGAGCGTCGGCAGAAGGAGATGAGAGGGGATGAAGGAGATGAAGGAGGCGATGATGAAGGAGATGAAGGCAGAAATGAAGGAGATGAAGGATGGGATGGTAAACCAGATTGTGGGGAGGTTGAGCGCGGTTTTGAGAGAAGAATCAGAGCGGCAGAAGAAGGCGAGGCAAGAGGACTCGGAGCGGCGACAACAGCATGACGCAAAAAGGAAACAAGTGGCGGACGACGAGGAGAGACAGAAGAAGAAACAACCGGACGAGCAATGGCCACAGAGCGGCGGAGGAAGAAGAAACATCAGGAGGAAGAGCGATGGCAGAAGGAGGTGGAGGCGGGAATGAAGGAGGTAATGGAGGCTATAAAGGAGATGAAGACGGGGATGAAGGGGTGGAAGGAGGGGATGCTAAGTGAGGTGGAAAAGCGGCTGTCAGTAGTTTTGAGATTGGACGCAGAGCGGCGGCAAAAGGAGGAGCAGGGTAGGAAGGTAACGGAGGGAGATCGGCGACAGAAGGAGGATGCGCAGAGGAAGGAGGCTGAGAAGGACGATTGGGAGGAAAGGGAGAAACAACAGGAGGAGCACCGGCAAAATGTGGAGGCGCAAAGGAAGGAGGCAAAGGAAGGAGAGCGGGTGGAGAGGGCGAAACAGCAGGAGTTGGCGCGCCTGCAGAAGGAAGAGGCGCAGCGGAAAGATGCAGAGGAGGCCGAGAGGCAGGAGAGGGAGAAACAGCAGGAGATGGCCCGCCTGCAAAAGGAGGAGAGGCAGAGGAAGGAGGCAGAGGAGGTAGAGCGGCGCCAGAGGGCAAAACAGCAGGAATTGGACCGCCTGCAGAAGAAGGAGGCAGAGGAGGCCGAGCGGCAGCAGCGGGCGAAACAGCAGGAGATGGAGCGCATGCAGAAGGAGGAGGCGTAGAAGAAGGAGGCAGAGGAGGCCGAGCGGCAGCAGCGGGCGAAACAGCAGGAGATGGAGCGCCTGCACAAGGAGGGGGCGCAGAAGGAGGCAGAGGAGGCCGAGCGGCGGCAACGGGCGAAACACCAGGAGATGGAGCGCCTGCAGAAGGAGGAGGTGCAGAAGAAGGAGGCAGAGGAGGCCGAGTGGCGGCAGAGGGCGAAACAGCAGGAGATGGAGCGCCTGCAGAAGGCAGAGCAGTGCCGAGCAGAGAAGAGGGCCAGACTTGCATCCTTCGCGGAACAGCAGCGGCAACTGGAGGCAAAGGCAAAGGCGATGGCTGAAGAGACGGAACGATTGGCAAGGGAGATGGAAGAGGAGGATTCGACCATGCATGGGGAGGGGACCTGGAAGGGAGTCGAGGAGGAAATAGCTGAGGGCCTAGGGAGTTTGCTGTTGATTGAGAGCGGGGAGGCGAATGTAGAAGAGGGCGTGGCTATTGTTCCCAAACAGAACGTAGAGGTGTCCAGGAGGCGGCCTAGACAGGAGGGCAGGGAGCCGGAGGGTCATGCGGCTAAGAGACGGCGTGCAGCTGGTATACAGGAGTTGATACCGATAATCCCAGAGGAAAAGAAGGGGATGAAGATCGACAAGTGTGACAACAGGAAAACCGCCGTAGTGGACGACAAGGGTAAGACTTTGGGTGTCTGCTTGCCGTTCAGGGGAAGCGGGTTCTCTCAACGGGGCGAGGGAGCTTTGCAGAAGTGGACGTCTGAGCAGACCGTCGGCGGCCGGAAGCGGAACCTCGGCTCTCACAAAACGACGTGGGAGAGGGCATACACGGTCGTAGTCTGCTGGAAGTTCTACTTCCCGGATATTGACATGCAGGCATACGGCATGAATCCAAACCGTATTAACAAGTGGCGGGAAGACCTCGACTTCACAACGTGGCTTCCAACAGGGGTGTGGAGCGTCGTCAACGAACTCCACCTGGACAAACCGGACGGGTGAGTGTTTATGTGATGGACAAACCTCACAAGGAATGAGAGGCGCACAAGGAATCACACCCGCAAAGTTTGATGGTTCTGATCTTGCGACACTGGTGACTTGTGCAGATTCTCACTCGTTCAAACCAACACGGCTCTTCCGCAGCAGCAGGGGGATGGCTTTCAGGTTGCTGCCTGCGCTGGTATCAGAATAACTGCGTGGCAAAAGATGGTGGGAGGCGTGGAGGGTGAAAACGGCTATTCGACGGAAGAACACGCACTCGGACTTGCCGCCACGTTGTCTGTAATGTGGGCCGCATCCACGAATGTGGACCAGACCCAATGGGAGACGGGCGCAACAACAGCTGCACGTGGAACTTCTACCGCCATAGCATCTTCTGCTGCCAGATCGTCCCCTGCTGCCACCGCCTCGTCGGCTGCCTCGTCATCTTCTGCGGCCGATGTGTCCTCTGCCGTCCTCGATGCCCTTGCGACGCTTGCAGCCTCGGTTGCTTGCGTTGCGGTTGAGGCGATGCGGTCGGTCAAGGATCAGGAGCATGACAAGGAAGCGTGGATTCTTCCTCTGTCGGATGCGCTGCTGAAAGCGCTTCCGGCAGAGTCGCGAGCGGCCGGGGATACGAAGCGGATGATGAGGGTGGTGGCAAAGGTGGTGACCTCTTGGTGCCTATGCAACATGGCATCAAGAGGCCTTCGCCAGCACTTGGGCGTGTGCCTCGGAGTCCTGAAGAAGAAGTTGGGCGGCCGGGATACCACAACAGGGGCGGATATGGAGAAGAAAACGAAGAAATCGTCCGCGAAAAAGAACGCGACGAAGGAGGCGTCGACGGAGGAGAACACTGGCGCTGGCAGCCAGGAGTGATAGAGGCAGACGGGTTCTTTGGAGGTCTTAATAGTACCGCAGTAGAAATATATTTTCCTTTCCGTTTTTTGTTTTCACCGTGTATAAATATAGGTGTTGTTGTATAGAATACAATGAGGGATGTATTTTTGCTATGCAAACCTTCACTACAGTCGCGAAAATTGTAGGGCGCGTATGGAGTTGGCAATGCAGCCGATAGAACTCGCCATCAAAGGGAGGGTCAGCGAAAAAATAATTGACGGCAGGACGGCCTTCTACGACACTTAATCTAACATTAATACTCGGCTTCTACGAGGAGGTAGAAGTATAGGGCTAAATAATTGCATAACATCTTGTCTTGGGGAGCACCTTGTTAAGAGGCGTATACAGTATTCCGATGCATACCAAAACGTATACAGAACCTCTCCGGGTGTATAACATCGATGTGTGCTTCAATGCATAGACCAGAAAAACATTCTACGAAAACAGCGCGTCCAGGGAAGAAGGTGGCATACAGGCCCCAAATCGGGCTTCTACAGAGACATACAAGTGCCTGTACTGCATATTCAGTACAACCGGAATGAAGTACCCAAATAACTAAACCGCCCCACCCTTAAGGTACATGCCCCATCATTTCTGCTCCTAGCGTTTCGACGCTTCGCCCTTCGCCTTTTCCCGTTCCGCCTTCTTCGCAGCAGCGGTTCGTTGTTTCTCCTCTTCCGCCTTCTCCTGCACCATGTGTTCCTTGTGGTTCTCCTCCCACTCATCATCCCCAAACAGCGAAGTTGCCCACTCCTGGTCGCGAAGGCCCTTCTTGACCAAGAGCCAGCCCACTCTGCGTTGCGCCAAGTTGTTGACGGTCCTCTTTTCCGTCGACGAACCGGTCTTCTGTTTCTTGATGGGCGGAGTCTCATGCAGCACCGCCAGGCCGTTGGTGAATTCCGTGAAGTTGCACACGAGTAAAACCTCGTCCAGCAGCTTAATGGCCGTTGCGGTCGCCGCCTCGGAGCTGTCTTTTATTAGCGTCTCCATGGAAACCATGACACGATGCACGCGACGCATCTTTCGCTCGCATGCACCCACAGCCATCCCGGTCGTACCTTTGTAAGCGAACCGGGAATATGCGGTGATGAAGCTGGAATTCTTGTCCTTCTTCTTATACCGGTCGAACTCTGCAAAGACTTCGCGCAGTGACCTGCCGCCCATGATGAGGCTTGGCTGGACCCACACTTTCCAGGATACAGCAATAGTGGTGGCTTTGCGCCAATACACAACGACCACGACGAAGAATTCTTCCACGGCAACTGGTGCTTTGGATGCGTCCGTTGCCTGGTTTGCTCCTGTTCCCGCGCTCTTCGACGATCCGTCGATCTCTGCAGAGGTGTTTGCCGCAACAAAAACCTCTTGTATGCTTCGAACTCTGCAATGACCCGAGCCTTGTCCTCTCGCTCAGCGGCGAGTTTCTCCCTCAGTTCAGCGTTCTCCATCGCCAACTGCATTTCACGTCCTCTCAAAATCCCAAGCTCCTCCCTCAGCATATTGGCGGTGAGGTGCATCTTCTGCATCTTCTCTTCTGCGGTCGTGCAAAAGATAGCGTCCTACAGAAACCAACACGGCAGAACTCAGCATGAACGAATAACTACCTCTCTCTACCACTAATAGCAGGCACTTACTGCTTTGGCGGTGGTTTGGCCGGTTGCCCGAAGCTTCTCGCCCTGCAAGTGAGAGATAGCGACCAGGTACGCCCACTTTTGGAACAGCGGGTGGTTGCACAAGGGGCTCATCTGCACATATGGATGCCTCTCGCAATTGCACCGCGGGTTTCTCGCGCCGTGTTGATGGCAGTACGCCCACATCATAGCCAGATCCTGTGCAACAACGAGGCGTGCAATGCTCGCGAGGGTCTCAAGGAACCTCGCCCCCGCATAGTGCCTCTTGAGCGGATCGGACTGCGCAGCGTTCCATTCTTCGACCTGACGGGACGAGTATGCAGGAGAAATGCGACGGTTCATAATTGCGTATCAAAATTAAGCTACGAACACGAAGACTGTACACTAGCACGTACCTTCTTCCAACCCTCTTCGACCCAGGGGAAAATGTGAAGCCTTAAGAGATCCAAGAGCTGCAACCACTCATCCTTCTCCTTATCCTTATGCCGCGGAAGCTTGGCGCGGGCTCTGCCGATGTAGTAGTCTCCACGATCCCCGCTGAATCCTGCGAGCAGCCAAACCGGCTTGAACGGAATGCCGAACACATAACACCTCTGCAACTACCCCTGCGCCCATCCGCCCAGAGTGCCGATATCGTTGTCGGAGCAACCGTTGTCATGGAGTTGCTGCGCTCCGAATCTACTGAATGCATGCGTCACCTTGCTCAGAATCCATCTCGCCTTCGTCATGGCCCGCTTAATCCAGGTGTTATGCGTTTTGTAGTGCATCTCGTCTTGCTTCTGCTTTCCCTGGTCGCCCTTCTTCAAAGAAAAGAAGAGGTGTGCTTTAGTCCACAAGATCGGTTCAGAAAAGTCGAGAGGCTCGACGATACCAGGGCCGTAGCGCAGAGGAACAAAGTCCTAGATGAAATGAAGCCACAGGAACACATGGCCCATTCTGCAGAGCCGCCAGTCCCTATGCCTTGCAAGAAACTGATGACTCAGCTTGTTGTTGGGGTTGGTCTTTGACTTTCTGGAAACAACAACGAGTACGAAAACGTCAAGATAGTCATCGAGGCGTGATGTGCTCCGCGTCACGCGGACAAACAGGTTCCCAAGGCGAATCTTTCGAATGCTGCACCCTCTTCCGAGAAATTGGTGTCCGAGGTGCATCATAACCGGAACTTGCAGAGCCTTCCAGAGAGGAAGCGAGATTTGTGACGGAGGCGTCCGCCACCAGATCTCTAGGAGCTCTTTTTGCAGAACAGTAAGATGCAGCGTCCTATACAGGCTACCCGTATAGCAATCACCAATTGATCCACGGGTTTGATCTCGACCATCCTTGCATAGAATAGCACAGTAACTATGTAGACCATGTAGAACAAGAGTCACACAAACAGAAAGCACACGTATATGTTACTCACGCGACTTGCTCGTCGTTCAGATCCTTCAGCTTCACTTTGAAATAATCCCGAGCATCCTTGATCCAGTCCTTGGTCAGTGTGATGGAGAAGCCGTAGAGCCTCGCCTCGCATCTGGCAAGGCATCCCATTGCGTTTTTCTCTGCCTTGATCATTGAAGCTGTGCACCCCTTTGCCTCCTTCCCCACATATTTCTCGACGTCTGGCCGCATTTTTCCACGCAAAAACTTTGCCTGCTCGTCAGTTTCGCAGAAGAGATACTCGATGTATCGGCCGAGCCTCCATTCCGTGACTCGCGGCCCGTGCAGATGAATCTGCCACTCGTCAAAGCTGCACGACCACCCATCATTTCCCAAGTTATTACTCATATGAAACCCAACTTCGTTGTGCAGAGAGGGAGCAAGGCCATCTGCCACAGGGACATCGTTCATAGTTGCCATGAAGATTATCACCCACCACTTGAAGTGTAGAAAGTGGAAACAATAGTGCCTTCTCGTGTCGGCCTCTATCAGTCGAAGCGGGATTGTTGAACGCCGGATCCTGCTCTCCTTTTCCGCAACGTCGGTCTGCCACTGCGCATTTCTGGGGGCCGCAGCGTGCTCGACATGGCTCGCAAAATCGGGAGGTCGTCATCGTCCCGGCAATGATTCTCCCTCCTCTTCTCCATCAGAGTAATCTCCATCCTCCTCGTACCGTTCTTCGGGCGCACTGGGTCGTGGGCGCACTCCATCGCCTCCCGGCCCTTCACTCCCTTCAACACTCCCCTTGACTTGAATCCAGACGGATGGTTCGTAGAGACCACCCTGGAACAAATCTTCCTCGGTCGCCTCAAACTTGCTATCGTTCCCGCGATCCTGTGCGTAGTCTTGGTCAGTTTTTTCATCGTCTTCCATGTCTTCTTCTCCATCCTCTACACCCTGGGCTGCCATGGGGCGAGAGTGGACCGAGCTGTCGGCCATTCACAGATTCCTAATTTATTACCTAGCAACCGAGACTAGACGAAAGAATCGGACGGTGTCAGCCGCGGTAGGTGGTAGGGTCGCCTGACTGTTCTGTAACGTATAGCTCTGTCACCTTTTGTTCTACCGCTTTAATTCTTTACAACGAAACAACGAAAAAAATGTTCTACCATGATACGGATATAATCATCTACGGAACCCTTATGCTTGTACATAACTTTCGTGGGTTCGACGATATTATGGATTGGGAGCGAATACTTCTACCAGTAAACAAGCCTACCGTCGAAGATGTCCGACTACAAGAGCGGGCGACCAACGACAATTGTTCCGGGCAACTACAAACAGTTCTACAGACAAAATATTCTACCACACCGATCGGCGCCAAAATAAGCGACCTAACAAGTGTGGCTGCAGTTATCCTAACCGGGCTGACCCAAAATAAAAAAACCCACTCTATACGACCTACGTCACTACGTCGATGCCAATGTTCTGCCAGTGGGCCAAGCAGGCTTAAAAGACTACGGTGGTGGACTAACAGGTGCTGGATGAAAAGATCTCAAAGAGCTTGCGGAGCGTGAAATGCCATTCATACCCATCTACCACACACACAGAAGCCCGTGTCCAGATCTGGTCATCCAACCCTGGGCTGGATGATTCTCCCGCCAAAAAATAAAGTTCCCTACACGACGCTTATTGGCTCTTGCAGCCTTGGGACTCTGACAACAACTCTTGCCATGGCCACGTGTGCAGAACACCTACTGTTTGGTAAACAATGACTATAAAACACAATGAGCAAACGTAGGATGCTTCACTTGTACTCATATTATTCATAAAACACATAAGATCAATGGTATAAAGGAACACACCTGCTGCAGCTTTAAGGCTGGAGCCATTAAAAAAAAACCGAGTTAAAGCATATAACCACGCAGAAAAGACCAATTGGTCGCAACCGGCCATGCGACCGGCGGTCGTCACTTTTCGGCCAAAGAGTTACGATGGCGAAAATGTCATTCCCATGAAATCACTGGCACAAAGGGTCACGGGCAGGTTGGTTGGAACACATCTTTCACGGTCAGGTGGGCGCGGAATTGTGAGCGGCTGGCCTTGTTGTATTCGGCGGAGCCTTGCGCCCAAGCCCTACGGAATCCGGAGCACACGGATCCAAGGCCTCGGATCATGGGGCAAACGCACTCGGAACTCCGCCACAACGTAGTTAGAGTCCCCGGGGTCCTTGTCTAGGTAAGCCGCGGGTGACCTCTGCAGCTTTCACTTCGCGTGGTGACCCCAAGGTTACCCACAGGGGACCCCTCCCATCATGCGGGAGCGAATCATACACGAGCCGCTTCCGCGTTATGCACCACATTGCCAGCAGTACAGAATTCTGCAAACAGTACACGAATGACTCTACAGTTTATTGGCAAAATTACGAACGGAAACATATAAACCAAAATCCCGATATAGCTACAATTGTAATTGATAATAAACCGATTGTCCGTTTCATACCAGCATTCATTTACCGTTGCTAGGGTTGCTTGAGGTAAAAAAAAAAAAATAGTGTATTAATTTCTAGCAATTCCATTATACATGGTTCCATTGAAAGTGCAACAATGCTGGAACGTCTACCAATTGCACAGATATAACCGTCAGCTAAGATGTTAAACATGCACCCTACATGCATCAGGTTTCAGCAACTATGATTTCCTATAGCAAATAATAATTATCCTGTGTATCATGGCTCTTGCAACACACCAGACAACGAAACACAAGAAAAAACGAAACAGCAGCAACACAGGGCATTTCTCAACGACATGGTGTGAAGAATGATTCTAACCTCAATGATGATGCAGATTCCACGGACATGCCGAGTGGGTACACTCGGGAAGAGTGTTAAAGGGGTGAAATCGATGCACTCACAAGTGTCAACACTCGCCACTATGTGAGAGGATGGCCACCGTAGTCTGCAAACAATGATGACATCCAAAAAAAGGCAACGGAACAAGTGCGGCTATGAGACAGCGGAAGACGAAACAGCGTTAAATGCAGGGGTAAAACCAAACGAGCACGACTATCGTACCTCGCATAACTCAAGACGCACGTGTTGAGTAGCTCACAGGATCAACTATGCGCCGCACTGCAATTACCGCGTCACAATAAAAAACATTAGGCATGAAACAAACACATTAGGCGCTAAAATAACAAATCCCACGGCGACGTGCGCTTCAACTGGAAAGAACCTGAAATCAGATAACAATTAACAGGTACGACGACGGCTCGTTTAACGCGAAACAAGACCACCATTAAATTCTCACCAGCGCTAGTCGTGGGATGTTGTTTATCGCTCAAGTATGGCGGCTCTCGTACGTGTCTAGGTGTGTATCATGAGCTGAAGTCGAAGTTAAGGGCGTGTTACATTTTTCAAACTCCCTGAAAGTCCGGACGGCTGTTCGAACGCGTGCGAATATTGCGACGTCGTACGGTCATGTTGCGACTAATGCGATGTCGTAAGGAGGCAACACGAAGAATACGACGTCGTTTAGACCCTGACGAACTTACTGCCGAGATTTAACGAGTTCCGTAACCACAAAATCGTCCAGACAGTCGGCCGTCCGGACGAAAAACAAATGTAGCACGCCCTAAAATGACGGGTTGAGTGGGTAGAAGGGTGGATAAGTAGTCTGAAGGTGCTGTGAGAGGAGAAAGAGAAGGTGCTGTCGAAGAGCTTTGATTGGTTCGTGAACTTTCATGTGCCATGTAACCCAACCCATCACTATTACCCAACCCATCATTGAGCGATGCGATAGCATATTGTTTGGCGGGTAAGAGATATGCGTATTGGCTACGCAAAATAAGTTTGAGGTCGAAATACAGTCCCAACAGGTTTGGAATTCCCATGCGTCACACGTTCGGCAGAAGCTGAGTGGCGACAAATTTGGCAACGCTGTCGATTTTCCCGCCAACGTTGGGGTAACCTCGGGGTACCCCCACGAACTGTAAACCGTTCCGATTGGTCGAATGTCTTGTTACCATGGCGGGCGCTAAGGTTGGCGGTCGTCGTTGACGTCGCCGGTGTCTGGGGGTAGGCTGTAGGTAACACCGAGGGAACACGTGGGTCACCCCGCGAGGGTGACTCTGGGGTCTCCCACATTTTCAAAGTGATTATTGCACATGGAATTTTGGGATGCTAGCCGCTCAGTCCGCGACCTACATTATCACGTTCTGAAACTTTCAAGTGGTCTAGAAGGTACAGTTGAGATCGAGTAGACAAAATGGTCCTCTAGTGGCAATTATTATTTTCTCTGCCCTTCAATCTGCCGTAATCTCGAAGAAAAGTGTCAAAACGAACGCCACTTTTGCCCACTTATTTGGATACCGTATGAGCTGACTCAGCAATAGCACAAGTATCACTGCTCACCGTCATCCCCAATGTCTCCTATGGGTGATGGCAAGTCGAGCGAGGTTCACGTGCGTCGCGAGGTGCTCCGTGAGGCGCGGAGAAAATTCGAACTGCCTACGAGTCGTAGCGCCGCGTGTATTGAGAGAGGCGGCGCCGCAAGCATCGCGGCCGTTGCAGCGAATCGGATGGCGTCAAATGACGATCAACGGAACCGTCAACTTGCCTTCGTTGAAAAAAATTCTCCTTGCCCCTCTTCCCATGCATGTCCCCCCTGCTTCGCACCAACGTTTGCTTCGTATTCTCATTCTGTGATTTGTTGTGCGTTCCATTTCATAAGTACCCTGTCGAGTCCAAAAACAACAAAATTCCCTTCTTTCCTCCTCCCCCTCACCTTCTCCCCGTTTCCCCTTTCTTTCACCTCCAATCCACCTGCCTACCCCCCACCTTATTTCTCCTCCCACCGGGCGCTTTTGTGAGGAGCAGGGGAGGAAGATGCACAGGGAAGGAGCAGGTACGGAGAAGATGCACCTGACGATCACGATTGCGTTATCCTCACTGTCAGTGCTGGTGGGAGGATTGTCTTCTCCGTGCCTGCTCCTCTCCTGTGCATCTTCTCCCCCTCCGAGTCATGCTCCCCCGGTGAGATCGCTGGTGCAGATGCGCCGAGCAAGATGGGAGAGGCGCGTAGGGGGAGTTGTGTAGGCGGGGAAAGGTGGGGCGAGGTGAGAAAGAGGGGGAGGGAAGGGGGAGTTGGTTGGTGCTTGTTTTTATGAGACGTACAAGCCTGTGGTAACAACAGTGTGCCAGCAGACCACATGGTTCTCGTTGTTTTAGACATCTCGAAGCATCCCCTCTTTTCCCTCTCCCCATTGCCCTTTCCGCCCCTCTCCTCCCCCCGCCAGGTGCGAGGACCGCGTGCCAGCAGTAGCTGACCGCGTGGTACTGCATAAGCTGGCGCAGGACATGCGTGAGTGGCCGCGCCTGCAGGTGAGTGATTAGGGGATAAGGTGTGATTGTTGGGGTGATACTTGTAAGCAGTGGGGAGCCAGGGAGGAGAGCAGGAGGGGTTTAGGGAAACGGGGGTAGAAAGAGTGCTGGTGCAGGGTATGTGCGAGTGGCCGCGCCTGCGGGTGAGCGAGAGGGGGGAAGAGGGGGGGGGGAGGGGGGGAGAGGGAATATGGGGGATATGGAAGGGTTAAGGGGCGATGGGAGTAAGAAGATGGCAAGCGTTCAGGAACGTGAGGTCTAAGTAAGAAGCAAGACGTAGGGTTTCTCTCGTCTGATCTTTGCCACCCCTTTCCCCCACCCCCCTTCCCCATGCCTGTCTCCAACGCCTCCCCCACTCCTCTCGCCCACACCACTCCACTCCACCACACCTCTCCCTTATACCCCCCCCCTCCTTCCCCCCCCTCTTCCCCACGCCTCCACCGCCCACCGTGCCCGTGCTGCTGCCAGGAGGTACCAGCCCCCGAGGTGGCAGTGGGGTCCGGTGGGCAGTGCACGTCCCCACTCCCCCACACCCCTCCCTTACGCCTCTCCATGACCCCGTCCTACTACTCCCCCCTCCCTCTCTCCCACCTCTCTCCCCCACCCCTTTCCCACACGCATTTCCCCCACCCCTTTCCCCCATGCATTTCTGGGGTTACCGGGCCCTTCCGGCCCATACCGGGCCTGCCACAGACTTCCCATCCAGAAGCCATGAGCCAGCTCTTTGGCTAAGTCACCCCACTCCGATCTATTTGCCTACCCCCCTCGTCATTCCTCCCCACTCCCCCCTCCCGCATGTGACCTGCCTGCCATCCGCTCACAGGCTACGACAACATGCTGGACTGGTTGGAGTCAACCAACCATGCACTGCACTGCACGCGCATGGAGAGGGTCCACGCAGCCATGCCCTCGACTTTGCTTCTTGCCTGACCACACGTCCTTAGCATTCTGTCAAATGGCCTCATCGTCGCCTTCCTCATTGTCGCCTTCCTCATCGTCGTCTTCCTCATCGTTGCCTTCAGCGCTGGTGAGAAGATTGCGCAGGCGGGTGAGGGGTGATGGGATTGGAGGAGGTGATTGCCAAGTGGCTGCGCGGGTGAAGGGGGAGGGGGATGATGGGATAAGGGGGATATGGAAGGCTAAAGAGGAGATTGGGGGGTTAGAGGGTGATGTGGGCTGTAAACAGCAAAGGCTCGGACAAGAAGGGTGAGGTATAGAACCAAAGATTGGTTATTTTCAAAAGCCACAACGGCCCTAATTCTTTGCACTCCTCTCCCCCAACGCTCACCCCCCCCCCCCCCCCCCCCCCGACCCTTCACCCGAACCCTCTCGCCCATCCTCTCTCCCACCCTGCTTCACTGCACCTTTTCCTCCCCCCCTCCCCCCCCCACGCATCTCCCCCCCCCCCCCCCCCTTCTTGCCCAACCCTCTTCTCGAACCCTCTCCCCCAAACCTCTCGCCCAACCCCCTCCCCAACGCACTTCTCCCCCACGCCTCCTCCCACGCCTCTCCCACACGCCTCTCCCCCACTCTTCTCCCGCCCCCTCCCCACCCCCCACCTGTCAGAAGGAGGCAGCCTCCAAGGGGGTAGTGGGATCCGGTGGCCAGCACGCGTTGCTGTACGCGCAGATCACCGACGTGGGGCTGTAGGGCGGTGCACAGGCCAGCTGCCCTGCCATCGGGATGGCGCGTCCAGTCTGCTCACGTTGATATGGTCGCTGATGTCTGCCGTGGCGTTCTGGGTCCTATCACCTTGTGTGGAACCCGCTTCTACCAAATCAGCTTTGTGCTCTGGTTTGTCTCCTGTATCAACACCACTGCCATTGGCACTCTGTTCACCGCATGGTACCATCATTCCATCAACCCATCACCCTATCATCCTTTCACCCCACCATCGCGTTACCTCATTACTCCGTCATTCCATCGCACCATCAAAACATTTCCCCATCACATCATCATCTTATCACCCCATTATCCCCCGCCATGCCCTTGCACGGGCTCTGGCACTCACTGCAATGGTTGTTGCTAAACAACTTGGCAGGTCACTGCCTGCCCTGCCCCTGCATGTGCCCACCTGCCTTGCTTGCATGAGGCACAGGCTACAAACCAGAAGCCAAGAGATTCATTCCCTCACTCCTTCACTTTCCTCCTTTTCTCCCCCTACCCCTGAACCCACACACCACCCTCTCCATCTCGTCCAGTGCATCATGGCAGGGCGCTGTGGTGTTCACCTCTCCTTTTCCTGCCCTCTCCACCTACCGTATCCCCGCGTTGTGAACAACGGGGTTACAAGCGACACTTGTCAGTTGATGCAACCACTTGGAAATATGGGTTCTGATCACCTAAGTCGCAACCCAATCATGTTCAGGCACGTTCTTGTTTCTGCGCTTTCAACATCTCAGACCAAACAGTGACTTTCCTGTATTGCCCTCCAAAAGCACTTGCACTGAAGGCCAAGCGAAGCGAGCATGGGCCATTTCAAGTTGGGCCACGGGTTCCTCTTTTGCCTTCTCGTTTTTGCAATACTCATTTTGAGACTTGAAGAATTAGAAACAGAGAGATGTACGGTAATATGGAAAGAAAGAAGCGAAGAACACAGCAACATTATACAACACACATAATAACTCAGCAGCACAGTCATCTAAGTTTCAACCCTGCCCTCGGAGCAACCGCATGCAGTTGCTCACACCTCTTCTCCGTTAGTGCGTGACACTGCCCCTTCGAAGTACATGCTAAAGCCTTCAATCACCTTCAAGAGGAAAAAACTCATTTCGCTGAGTGGGTGGGTGGATGGGTGGGAAGACAGCAGCAGGATGAGACTCAATGGAGATGGAAGATGTAGATCATGTAACGAAAAAGAACACAGAAGGGAGGTAGAGGAGTAAGTCATAATGTTGTAATAGAGGGGAGAAGCGCATGAGGATTATTGGAGCTGTGCATGCTGAGCTGTGCATGCTCAGCTGTGCATGCTGAGCTGTGCATGCTGAGCTGTGCATGCTGGGCTGTGCATGCTGGGCTGTGCATGCTGGGCTGTGCATGCTGGGCTGTGCATGCTGGGCTGTGCATGCTGGGCTATGCATGCTGAGCTGTGCATGCATGGAAGAGAACAAAACCTAAAATAGAGCACACTCTTTCGTCCCTCGCTCGTACGTGTGCACTTGGTGTTGACGAGCTGGAACCCTGAGCTGCACTGACACATTGGCTTTCCTCTCATCGCCATGCACTGGGAATTAGCACCGCACGCAGGCTTGCACACGGCTGTAAATTGGGTGGGTTGGGTGCGAGAGATGGGAAGAATGAAAACAAGGACGAGATGAAGGGACAACAACGCAGCGAGAATAAACAGCACGAATGTCGTGACACAAAGATTGTTTATCAGTGTGAGTGGGAGGTTGCAGTAGGGAGGGAAGAGAAAGATCTTCACTGGAAATCCACAGGCTTGCAAGAGAACAAGACAAAAAAAAAGAGCAAAATTATCTTCTGTGCTCTTACGTGTGCACTTGTTGTTGACCGGCTTGAACCCCGTGTTGCACTGACACATTGGCTTTCCTCTCACCGCCACGCACTGGGAATTAGCACCGCAGCTAGGCTTGCACACAGCTGTCAAATGGGTGGGGTGGGTGTGAGAGATAAAGGGAATGGAGGATGAGAGGGGAAGAGCTGAGGGATTGCATAGAGCACGCTCAGATGGCAAAACCTTCATTGGCACAAGCATCCTTCACGGGTGCAGGTGGCTGGTGACAAAAACACGAAGAGAGCATATTTCTCCCCTCGCTCTTACGTGTGCACTTGTTGTTGACGGATCTGAACCCTGTGTTGCACTGACACACTGGCTTTTCTTTCACCGCCATGCACTGGGCATTGGCACGGCAGGCAGGCTTGCACACGGCTGTCAAGTGGGACGGGTGGGTGTGAGAGATGAGATGGGAAGGTTGAAGGATGAGAGGCGAAGAGATGGAATACGGCATGGTTGCATGAAAGAGAGCGAGTACAGGAGAGGTTGGAAAACGAGTGAGATATGACAGGGGTTCTCCCCCCCTCGCACTTCCGGCCTTACGTGTGCACGTGCTCTTGTCCTGTCGGAAACCCGCTTTGCACCGACACACGGGCTTTCCTCCCACCACCATGCACTGGCCATTTGCAGGGCAGTCAGGCTTGCAGATGGCTGGTGTGGGTGCGAGTTGGTGCGTGGAGGAGAGGAAAAATAACGTGAGCTTGAGTGGGGCAGCAGATGGGGAGGAGGAAGGAACGACCAGGTGGGGCCAAAGAGGACGCCACAAGAATACCACACACACTCAAGCTGGGTTGACACGAAGGAGTGTGATTTCATGTGCTGCGTCTAGAGCCCTGGATGATCTCACCAGTGCAGAGGCCCTTGTTGACCTTGGTGTAGCCGGCGTGACACTCGCACATGGGCTGTCCATTCCTCACCACGCACTTGGAGTTCCTCGCGCACTTGACTGACTCACACAGGTCTGCACCTTCGCTAGGGTCTGTGTCTGCCATGGGTGGTGGAAGAAAGAGGTGAGACTGGTTTTTTTCCCCATTTTCTGAGAAGGATCAGCCTGAACAAGGGAGTTTCCAGCAGACCAAGGCAGCCGATCTTTCTGCATGCACACAGAACAGGAACGGCTGATGGGGTAGCTTTTGTCGCTGAGTACAAGCAAGAGGAGAACAGAAAGAGGAATGGGCCAGTGGCGAGAGAGAGAGGGAGAGACACGTACCCGTGCTGCTGGGAGACTTGTTGGTGCAGCGCTTCAGAGCATCGTCGAACACAAAACTCCAGGGGCACTTGCACTGAGACACGCCCCCCTTTACCACGCACTCTACTCTGCCGCAGTCCTTGTGACACATGGCTGTTGTTGGTGGCACAGTGGGGCACACCGGCCAGGCATGTAGAGGAAGGGGTGAAAGGGGTCAGCAAAGCATGGCATGGTTTGAGGCATCTCAACAGGGTCAGCAAGGCATGGCATGGTGCAGGGCGGTGAAGAATCAATTAAGTGCATAGAGCTGTGCTTGTGTGTCCAGCTGGCTCATCCAGCACAGAGGTGAAGGTGCTTGAACCTCCTTGGCACTTTGCACTTCTGGCACTCAGAATGATGGAAAAAAACGTGCTCATGGGGCTATGCGCATGTGGCCTGCACATGCTGATTTCGCAGAACAAGTTTCTGCCCTCCCACTTACTGATTTTGCAGCTCACTGATTGCGGCAAGGCTGCTTTCACAGTCCTGAGAGTGGGAAGGTAATGGCAGGGCACACCACAGACGAGCGCACGGTTGACAAAAGAAGAAGAGAGTTGTGGCGATCACACAGGAATGCTCCCTTTGAAACGCTTGAAGCACAGCAGACGAAACCACACTGCTCGTCGCACACCACCCTCGCTCACCTTGTCGTGACGGGGAAGAAACCGCCGACCTTGGTCAAACCCGGGCGAGCGATGGTCAAACCGGGCTTGTCGGCACAGACCAGGTCAGCGTGAAACGAGACGCTCTTGCACATGCCGTTGCTAACCGTGTCCACTCCCATCGACGTCCACTCCACGGTGATCCTGGTGTTGCTGCCCCCGGGTCGCTGACGTTGGTGCAGGCGGTGGCGCCAGTGGCTTGCGCCATGGGCACGGGGCTCTCAAAGGTGAGCAGCGAGAGATAGTTGAAGCCCTCCACCTCCACCCTCGTCTGCAGCAAGCCGTCTGCGAGCAGGCGTTGCGTGCGTTGCACGTTGTTGCGGGGATAGTGGGGGTACAACGCCGTCGAGTTGTTGCAGCACAAGGGGGACCGGGAGCGGGATGGAGAGGTACGTGGGGGGGGGGGGGGGTGAGAAAGGGAGGGGGTTTGTTGAGGCGAGGGACAGATGAGAGGCGGAAGATGAGAGGCGGAATATGAGAGACGGAAGTTGAGGTGTCAAGGCTACTTCCCCGGGGTTGCAACTGTTGAAACATCACATGTGACAGGATGTGTTTGCCTAAAATCGGAGCAGCTCACCAGTGTAGGCGCCGTTCTGCATGATGTATCCCAGCTCGCACTCGCACTCCCCCTTTCCCCCTCTTGCTACGCACTCCGCCTTCTCCAGACACTGCACTGATGAGCACGGGTCTGCACTGGGCAGGCGGGTGGGAGAGGGGGGGAGGCGAGGGGAGGGGAGAAGGCAAGGAGCATAGATCGGCTCACTGTGTGGAGGCAGCTGACCCTAAAGTTTGGGCAGGTGAATGTAGACTCTGGACAGGTGACGGTCTCTTTCCTTGAGACTACCTGATAGCACAGGTCACTGAGAGCACAGGTCATTGAGAGCACAGGTCAGTGAGAGCACAGGTCGGTGAGAGCGCAGGTCAGTGGGAGCACAAGTCAGCGAGAGCACAGTTCAGCGAGAGGACAGGTCAGCGAGAGCACAGGTCAATGCGCACTCACTCACTCACCCGCACTCGCACCACTCACCAATGCATGTCTTGGTCGCCTCGTTGAAGGCATAGCCAATGACGCCGCACAAGCACTCCGTGGAGCCATCATCGGCCACAGAACAGTGCGTGTCTGACCCACAGTCCACCGTGGCACACGCGTTTGCGTGGATGCGTGGCGGTTTTCAGTGTTGCGGGTGGTTAGCTAACCACAACCTAAAGGGACCTACGTCGACCTAAGAAGAAATCGGTGTGACTAGCAGTGACTAAGGGGGAGTAAGGACCTAAGAAGAATATGAGCTACTTGTGTTGGGGCGGTAGATGAAGGAACACGGCAGCGGCAGAACCTATGGTGAGAAACGGAGAGAACAAGAGGGAGCGTGCGGATGTGGAGAAGATCAGGGCTGAAATGTCGAGATTTGAAGTGAAGTGAAGGGAAGTCACGCCGGGTCAAAGGCGCGTCTAAGGAAGTCTGAAATTTGAACTCGAGGCGCGTTCGGTGCATGGTTGGATTTGGAAATTGAGCCGAGTACAAGTCAGCTCGAAATTAGGCGCGGCGCGAGGGCGAAATCAGAAATCCTTTTGCTTATAACTTGCTTTGTGTTTTCTGTTTTTGTATGCCTTCTTCAATGAAATTACTTGAACTTTCTGCCTTGACGTTTTCCAGCAAATTCCTTCACATAGTTGAGGCCAGAGCTTCATATGCTTGTTACTAAGACTCTAAATAGTCTTCATAGTCTAGACTAAAGGCTGCGCACGTACAAGAGCTGGTATCAGAGTTGGTTTAAGGCGTGTTCTAGCGTTCTGAGGATAGGCGGAATATACTAAGTATGACGGACGATCATACTGAGGCGAGTTCGGGTTCGGGCTCCTCTGTGAGCATTGGAGGCTCAGAACTACAGGCCATCCTAACAGCGCTAGAACAAGCTAAATTGACGGCGAAGCCAACGATTGGGCTTAGCGAGGCCCAACGGTTCCATGGAGAAAATTATAGCACGTGGCGACTCAAGTTCATTCGTAGAGCGGAGGAAGTCGATCTCTGGCCATACTATCATCCCAACAAGGAGACGGGAGAGGGCATCCCACCATCTGCAAAAGAAAAACCAGAAGAAAATGCGTCATTCAAAAAAAGGAGTAAGCAAGCCTTTTTTCAATTGTGCCATTCGGTTTCTGACAGCATTGCAGTGGGGCTGGATCAATTTGCGGGAGAGGAGAACTCTGCCGAACGAGCCTGGGAGTACATGGAAGCTGCTTACCTTGGGCTTATGGATACGAACAAAGCAGCCATTCGGAAGAAACTCCTTCTATTGAGTATGGAGCCGGGGGAGAGGGTCATTGACTACATGAATCGAGCGAAGGGGTACAATGACGACCTCAAGGCTATGGGGGCAGCTGAAACTGAAGGAGAAATGATGGGGTACATCATTACTGGGCTGCCCAAGGAGTGGGAAGCAGAGATAGGGCTCCTAACCTGCAACCCACCCGTGAATATGACCAAGCTGTTGGAGACGCTCCAAGCTCTGGAGCGGGTGAAAGCTGATCGGCTCAGGAAGGAGGTTAGCTTGAATGGAATGGGACCAGCCACTCATGCCATGGTAAACGCAGCAGCTACAGGGAAAGGATATGGAGGATTCGGGGCGTGTTTTCAGTGTGGAAAGAAGGGTCATGAGCAGATAGACTGCTATGACAACCCAAGGAGCATAAATTTTAAAGGGAAATGGAGCGGTCTACAGCACAAGGGGCTGCAGAACGGATGGCAGAGAGAGGGGGAGGTTCGAGGTGATAACAAGATGCAGAGAGGCGGATTTTCAGGGGCATGTCACTATTGCCAGAAAATTGGGCATAGGGCAGCCAACTGCTACTCGAACCCGAACAGCAGGAACTACCGAGGGGCAAACCAGCAGCAGAATCAACCAACAGCAGCAAAAGCAAATGCAGTGGAAGCTGAAAACAGTGAGGCGGACATAATTTTGGGGGGAGCTCACAAGGCAAACGTGGCAAGGGCATCGGGAGTGTGTTTGATGGCAAAGGGGTTTGGTGAAGCTGCGTGGTTCATGGATAGTGGCTGCACGCAACATATGACCAATCATCGTGAGTGGCTTACCGGATTGAGGGAGTCTAGTGTACCCTACGTTCTGTTGGGCGATGAAGGAAAACTGAGTGTGAAGGGGGAATGAGAGTTGCTGCTCCAGGGAGAGTACGGGGAGCTGAAACTGGAGAATGTGCTTTTAGTGGAGAAGCTGTCACTGAATCTGATCAGCCAAACTCAACTTGACAGCACGGGGTGCAAAACCTTCAGCGACAAGGGGAAGCTGTGGGTTTTCAATGAGGATTGGAAGGTGGTTGCAGAAGGGAACAGAAATCAGGGGTTGTATGAAATGAAGCTGAGGAAGAAGGGGCTGGAGGATGAGAATGCCACCTACCTGCCATCACTCGAAGGGGACCTAGCTAGGGAGGAGTTGAAGGCTCGGCTTGGTGGCTTACCAGTGAAGGAGCTGCAGCAGGAAGCTTCAGCCATGGTGGTTGGGATGGAGAAGGTGGAATTGGAGACCTTGCACAGGCGCATGGGGCATGCAAGCATGGATAGGGTCAAGGAGTTGGTAAAAAAGGGCATGGTAAAAGGTGTGGCACTGAAGGAGGGGGCTGGAAGCAAGGGAAAATGCAGCAAGTGTGTTGAAGGTAAAATCACAAAGTCCCCTCACCCCCACCACCAGGTACATGAGCCTTATGGCACCTTGGACATCGTAGCTGCCGACGTGTGTGGGCCTATGAGGGTGGCATCACGTCACGGCAGCCGCTACTTCGTTATCTTCACTGATTTGGGAACAAGGCACACATGGGTGACGGAGCTGAAAGATAAGGCAGAAGTGTTTCCTAGCTTCGTGACTTGGATGGCGGAAGCGGAGCGGCAAAGTGGGAAGGTGCTGAAAGTTTTAAGGACAGATAATGGAGAAGAGCTTACTGGTGAGCTATTCAACAAGTTTCTACAGAGTAAAGGCATCCGACGGCAGCTGACTGTACCCTACACTCCACAGCATAACAGCATAGCGGAGCAGGTGAATCAGTCACTACTAGGCAGTGTGAGGAGCATGCTTGCCGACAGTAGGCTGCCACTGAAGTTCTGGGGTGATGCATTGGCAATGGCTTGCTGGTCCAAGAACCGCCTACCTACGAAGGGACTTCAAGAAGATATGACTCCCCACGAGGCCTTCTATGGCAGGAAGCCGAATCTGGGGTTTGCACGGGTGTGGGGGAGTATGGTGCAATACAGAGAGCCAGCTGGTCCGGATCATAAGTTGCTGCCCAAGGCTCATTGGGGGATTAACCTCGGTACCTGCCCAGTGAGCAAGGGGTGGGTGATAAAGGATGTAATTTCAGGAAAGGTCACGATCACCCGGGATGTTGTCTTCTACGAGGAGGTGAACTACCTGCAGTGGAAGGGAATAGAGAAAGAGATTGCAGCAGCAGGGACAGCAACTGCACCGGACAAGGTGGAGGATCTTTTGGAGGAAAAGGAGAGTGAGGGAGTTGGAGATGAAGGAGATGAGGAGCTTGAAGATGTGGAACGGGCAGATTCAGTCGATTGGGTGTGGGAGAAGGTACCAACCAGTGAAGCGGATGAAACCAATGGAGTGGAGATAGCAGGGGAGCAGCCAAGCAATGAAGTAGCTGAGGGTGGCAATGATGAAGTGGCTGGAGAAGAGGGAGATGAAGAATCAGCAGCTGAAGGAGATAGTGATCCTTGGAAGCTCCTAGATAGTGAAGACAGCAATGTCAAGATGAGAGAGATAGCGGACCTGCTTAAGGAAGGTGCCATCATCATTGGAAGGGAAGCTAAATCTGGAGATGAGAATGAGAAGGCAAAGGAGGATCTCAGTGGAGATGAGGCTGAATCACCTACAGAGGAGTTGGGGAAAGGAAAGAGGGTGAAGAAACCAAACCCTCGGTATGCGCAACTGCTGATGACGTGCTGGAAGGACATCCATACCCACCTTCTACTCTCTGCCACAGCTACTGACCTAGTCTCCAATGAAGGAAAAGTGACCCACAACCTGCCCAAAGAACCAGTGAGCATCGAGGAAGCGCTAGAGGGTCCAGAAAGAGAGCAGTGGAAAGCAGCAATAGAGGAGGAGTTGAACACATTGGCTGAAAGGGGCACATGGGAGCTCATGCCTATGCCGGAAGGGAGGAAAGCCGTGGGGGTGAAGTGGATTTTTAAAATCAAGACCGGAGATATGGGGCAGCTGGAAAGGTTCAAAGCAAGGCTTGTAGCCAAGGGCTACACTCAGGTGGAGGGGAAAGACTACCAACAAAATGAGATCTACGCTCCAGTGAGCAAGTTGGCAACGGCACGGGTCTTTCTCAAGGTGGTAGCAGCAAGAAAATACTTCATGGTGCAGCTGGATATTAAAAACGCGTTCTTGTATGGGGTGTTGAAGGAGCACATCTACCTCGAGCAACCACCAGGGCATGACGACGGCTCGGGCAGAAAATGCAAGCTCAACAAGGCATTATATGGGCTGAAGCAGAGTCCTAGGGAGTGGTACATGGCGATGGATGAACGGCTGCTGCAAGGGGGATTTCAGAAAAGTGAGTGTGATAGGGCGTTCTACTGGAAGGGAGAAGGGAAGGAGAAGGTGTTCCTGGTGCTATATGTGGATGACATCTTGGTGGCTGGGGTGTTAGAGGAGGAGGTAGAGAAGGTGTGTGCTCATCTTGCGGAAGTTTTTCAAGTGAAGCAGATTCCGAGGACCACACTCTTTCTTGACATGAATCTGGAGCGACGTAAGGAGGAGAGGAAGATGTTCCTATACCAGCAGAAATATTGCAGCAGGGTGCAGCAGAGGTTTGGCAACGACTACACGAAGGCAATTTCTACACCACTGAGTGGGGTAGCTGAAAGCGACAGTGAAAGGGAGGAGGATGTCAACCAATGGGGCTGCAAAGAGAGAGCTCTGCAAGTATATCAGTCTATGGTGGGGTCTATCATGTATCCGGTCTCATGCACGCGCGTCGACATAGCATACGCAGCTAGCTATCTTGGGCAACAAGTGCAGCAGCAAGGGGAGAGAAAATGGAGAGAGATGAGGAGGACTATTGACTACCTACTGCAACATGAAGATGAGGGGCTGTTATTTGAAGGAGGTGAAGAGACCTTGGAGTTAGTGGGGTACGCGGATGCTTCACATGCATCCGACAAGAAAACAAGGAAGGGAGCATACGGTTACGCGTTTCTGCTCGGTGGGACAGCCATCATGTGGCAAGCGAAAAGGTTGGCTGACATAGCGCTCTCTAGTGCGGAAGCGGAGTACATGGCTCTGTTTTTCGCGTGCCAAGAGAGGGTTTGGTTGAGAAGGCTACTCATAGAGATGGAAATCAAGGTGGAAGGGCCGACAGTGATACGCACGGATAGCAAATCTGCCATCGACTTGGCTCACAACGACAATTGGCACGGGAGGACCAAGCATATGGATGTGAAGTATCATTGGGTGCGTTCAAAGGTGAGTAGCAAGGAGTTCAAGTTTGAATTCGTACGTACGGAGGCACAAGCAGCAGATTTTCTGACTAAGGTGTTACCAAGGGCTAATTTTGAGCGTTGCAAGAGAGAGGTTGGGATGCGTACTTTGGATGAATTGCAGGGGAGTGTGGAGCAGGGCTAGAGGTGGTTCAAGTTGAAATGTGCGAGGGAGAGTGCATAAGCTGGTGGTTAGCAAACCACAGGGGAGATTGTTGCAGGTGGTTAGCTAACCACAACCTAAAGGGACCTACGTCGACCTAAGAAGAAATCGGTGTGACTAGCAGCGACTAAGGGGGAGTAAGGACCTAAGAAGAATATGAGCTACTTGTGTTGGGGCGGTAGATGAAGGAACACGGCAGCGGCAGAACCTATGGTGAGAAACGGAGAGAACAAGAGGGAGCGTGCGGATGTGGAGAAGATCAGGGCTGAAATGTCGAGATTTGAAGTGAAGTGAAGGGAAGTCACGCCGGGTCAAAGGCGCGTCCAAGGAAGTCTGAAATTCGAACTCGAGGCGCGTTCGGTGCATGGTTGGATTTGGAAATCGAGCCGAGTACAAGTCAGCTCGAAATTAGGCGCAGCGCGAGGGCGAAATCAGAAATCCTTTTGCTTATAACTTGCTTTGTGTTTTCTGTTTTTGTATGCCTTCTTCAATGAAATTACTTGAACTTTCTGCCTTGACGTTTTCCAGAAAATTCCTTCACACAGTTGAGGCCAGAGCTTCATATGCTTGTTACTAAGACTCTAAATAGTCTTCATAGTCTAGACTAAAGGCTGCGCACGTACAAGAGCTGGTATCAGAGTTGGTTTAAGGCGTGTTCTAGTGTTTTGAGGATAGGCGGAATATACTAAGTATGACGGACGATCATACTGAGGCGAGTTCGGGTTCGGCCGATCATATTGACGGCGAAGCCATTTGTATTAAATACTAGCACATCTTCCCGTCATGATGTTGTTTAAAGCAAATTTGTATTGAGTCACCTTTTTGAAAGTGTTGAGTTCTGCAAAATTCCAAGCCCTAAATTATCGCAGAACATGCATAACGGCAATGCCCGTTTTCGCTACTGGTTTCGGGTTCCGGAGGGACCCACACGAGCCCACGCTCGCTCTGCCATACCTCCCCCTCCTCCACTCCACTGTTCCGAAGTGGCCCTTCTCTCATAGTCGTTTCTGTCCCAACAGATCAAAATAGCTAGTGCTTGGCTTGAGGACCAGTAGAAAGCTTGTGCTTACAGGTTCCGTTGGTGAACTCTCCAGCGTCTCTCGTGACTTCCTTTTGTGTGCTTTTTTTCGACGTTCTGCTCGGTTTGCGCACGAACTTTCCTCACAGGCATGTTTTCCTTGTCGTTTCAGTGCATATTGACTGGATTTCGCTTGCGTGAGTGACGATCAACAAAGATTATGATAGGAAGACCAGAAGTGCTTGCTTTCAGCTGGCGCTTATGCTGTTATTTCGATCCAGCTGACACGCATTGCATTGGAATCCTGCCAACGTAATAAGCCGTCACTGCATTCGTTTCCGTTCATTCTTTACGCCAACCCCAATGCATTTCGTTTCAGTTTTTGCTTCGTCCATCCGTGACGGACGCTCTCAGTCCTTTTCTTCCTACGCGTGAGGATCTCGTAGGGACATCGGAGCTCTCACAAGGAGCACTGACCGATCCAACACACGGAATAAATGGGAATCTCTCTGATGAAGGAGCCCGCATATACTCGGTTCTTCCCACCTTACGCTGATGTGTTGTGTTGAACCGTTTCTCAACCTTCCCCTCTACCCTTTCTCCTTATACCAGTCTTAAGAAGTCAAAGCATGCGTTCTCCTTTGATGTGGGTTTCCCTTATCACCCTTTCCTTCTACCCTTTCTCCTTCCAACATACCAGTTTCAACCAAAATCTCAGCCTACTGTAGCACGTAGAGTGGCTGAATGGATACATATTGTGCACAGAAGCATTGAGTGCAATAAAACCTTTAAAAATCATGTTTGTAATGTAAAGGAAAGCAATCATTAGCACGACCTTAGGTTAAGCTAGCTAGCTGGTCACAAACAGAAAATAAAAAGCACAAATCAACCTACGCATTCTCAAATACATTTATACGCCACATGTGCTCACCTAACACAGTAACATCACAACACGTTTCTCCTGGCAGAACAGCACGACTTTGTTGGCTCTTTGGCGGCTCGCTTCGCTATCCATGCCAGTCCCGATGTGTTGGGCTGGTTGCATTGCACAGCCTGGTATATCTCAACGGGACGTAGCAGGCGCGCTAACGACAAAGTCGTTCGACAAGACGACAAACTGCCCGGGCAAAAAAAAATAAACCCCAGACGGATGGCATGCCGTTCGAGAGCCTCAACCCTAAAATTTTAGGGTTAACCCCATCGGGATAGCATGCACCCTTCAGGAGCCTAAACCCTAAAATTTTAGGGTTGAGGCTCCCGAATGGCATGCCATCCGTCTGGGGTCTATTTTTTTTGCCTCAGGCAGCTTGTCGTCTTGTCGAAGCGGCTTTGTCGCTAGCGCGCCTTCTACGTCCCGTTGAGATATACTCGGCTGTATCTCTCAACGGAACCGGGGGTGACGCTCTGTTTGCCAGGGGTGACGCTCGGGGGTTGCACGCACGATACAAGCCCCTAGTTTGATCGCAGCCGTTGAACAAACAGCTTATCACGCTGGCATCCGTCCGTTCGTGAGATATTTTGAAGAAGCTGGTTACATTTCTTCACCTGCCCACTATAGTCCCGATTTTTCCCGTGGTAAATGCTGGCGAGGAAGCGAAATAGGGCTGCTCACTAAACACCCAAATGATGGGAAAAGTTGTGGGAGTCAAACGCGCTTCCTCTGTAGTCGAGAAGTACAAATCAATTGGCGCCGCGCACAGCTTAGCAGACTCAATTTTGGAGGAATTCGGTCAGCCTGGGTCGCGAAGAAGCGTGGGCGATTCGACGAGAACCATGTGATTCAACAAGCGTGACTATACGAGCCCATGAAAAAACGAGCCGACTAGCCGAGCCGTGACTGTAAATTCTCCAGATATCAGCAATAGACCGCGCATGTTTCAACCTTTAGACAAGGTGACGATTGCTGCAGAGGCGCACACTCACCGATGCTCGCAGCAGAGCAAGCAGATCCAGCAGCAACTACGCGTCGCCAGCGATTGGGCTTAGCGAGGCCCAACGGTTCCATGGAGAAAATTATAGCACGTGGCGACTCAAGTTCATTCGTAGAGCGGAGGAAGTCGATCTCTGGCCATACTATCATCCCAACAAGGAGACGGGAGAGGGCATCCCACCATCTGCAAAAGAAAAACCAGAAGAAAATGCGTCATTCAAAAAAAGGAGTAAGCAAGCCTTTTTTCAATTGTGCCATTCGGTTTCTGACAGCATTGCAGTGGGGCTGGATCAATTTGCGGGAGAGGAGAACTCTGCCGAACGAGCCTGGGAGTACATGGAAGCTGCTTACCTAGGGCTTACGGATACGAACAAAGCAGCCATTCGGAAGAAACTCCTTCTATTGAGTATGGAGCCGGGGGAGAGGGTCATTGACTACATGAATCGAGCGAAGGGGTACAATGACGACCTCAAGGCTATGGGGGCAGCTGAAACTGAAGGAGAAATGATGGGGTACATCATTACTGGGCTGCCCAAGGAGTGGGAAGCAGAGATAGGGCTCCTAACCTGCAACCCACCCGTGAATATGACCAAGCTGTTGGAGACGCTCCAAGCTCTGGAGCGGGTGAAAGCTGATCGGCTCAGGAAGGAGGCTAGCTTGAATGGAATGGGACCAGCCACTCATGCCATGGTAAACGCAGCAGCTACAGGGAAAGGATATGGAGGATTCGGGGCGTGTTTTCAGTGTGGAAAGAAGGGTCATGAGCAGATAGACTGCTATGACAACCCAAGGAGCAGAAATTTTAAAGGGAAATGGAGCGGTCTGCAGCAGAAGGGGCTGCAGAACGGATGGCAGAGAGAGGGGGAGGTTCGAGGTGATAACAAGATGCAGAGAGGCGGATTTTCAGGGGCATGTCACTATTGCCAGAAAATTGGGCATAGGGCAGCCAACTGCTACTCGAACCCGAACAGCAGGAACTACCGAGGGGCAAACCAGCAGCAGAATCAACCAACAGCAGCAAAAGCAAATGCAGTGGAAGCTGAAAACAGTGAGGCGGACATAATTTTGGGGGGAGCTCACGAGGCAAACGTGGCAAGGGCATCGGGAGTGTGTTTGATGGCAAAGGGGTTTGGTGAAGCTGCGTGGTTCATGGATAGTGGCTGCACGCAACATACGACCAATCATCGTGAGTGGCTTACCGGATTGAGGGAGTCTAGTGTACCCTACGTTCTGTTGGGCGATGAAGGAAAACTGAGTGTGAAGGGGGAAGGAGAGTTGCTGCTCCAGGGAGAGTACGGGGAGCTGAAACTGGAGAATGTGCTTTTAGTGGAGAAGCTGTCACTGAATCTGATCAGCCAAACTCAACTTGACAGCACGGGGTGCAAAACCTTCAGCGACAAGGGGAAGCTGTGGGTTTTCACTGAGGATTGGAAGGTGGTTGCAGAAGGGAACAGAAATCAGGGGTTGTATGAAATGAAGCTGAGGAAGAAGGGGCTGGAGGATGAGAATGCCACCTACCTGCCATCACTCGAAGGGGACCTAGCTAGGGAGGAGTTGAAGGCTCGGCTTGGTGGCTTACCAGTGAAGGAGCTGCAGCAAGAAGCTTCAGCCATGGTGGTTGGGATGGAGAAGGTGGAATTGGAGACCTTGCACAGGCGCATGGGGCATGCAAGCATGGATAGGGTCAAGGAGTTGGTAAAAAGGGGCATGGTAAAAGGTGTGGCACTGAAGGAGGGGGCTGGAAGCAAGGGAAAATGCAGCAAGTGTGTTGAAGGTAAAATCACAAAGTCCCCTCACCCCCACCACCAGGTACATGAGCCTTATGGCACCTTGGACATCGTAGCTGCCAACGTTTGTGGGCCTATGAGGGTGGCATCACGTCACGGCAGCCGCTACTTCGTTACCTTCACTGATTTGGGAACAAGGCACACATGGGTGACGGAGCTGAAAGATAAGGCAGAAGTGTTTCCTAGCTTCGTGACTTGGATGGCGGAAGCGGAGCGGCAAAGTGGGAAGGTGCTGAAAGTTTTAAGGACAGATAATGGAGGAGAGTTTACTGGTGAGCTATTCAACAAGTTTCTACAGAGTAAAGGCATCCGACGGCAGCTGACTGTACCCTACACTCCACAGCATAACAGCATAGCGGAGCGGGTGAATCGGTCACTACTAGGCAGTGTGAGGAGCATGCTTGCCGACAGTGGGCTGCCACTGAAGTTCTGGGGTGATGCATTGGCAATGGCTTGCTGGTCCAAGAACCGCCTACCTACGAAGGGACTTCAAGCAGATATGACTCCCCACGAGGCCTTCTATGGCAGGAAGCCAAATCTGGGGTTTGCACGGGTGTGGGGGAGTATGGTGCAATACAGAGAGCCAGCTGGTCCGGATCATAAGTTGCTGCCCAAGGCTCATTGGGGGATTAACCTCGGTACCTGCCCAGTGAGCAAGGGGTGGGTGATAAAGGATGTAATTTCAGGAAAGGTCATGATCACCCGGGATGTTGTCTTCTACGAGGAGGTGAACTACCTGCAGTGGAAGGGAATAGAGAAAGAGATTGCAGCAGCAGGGACAGCAACTGCACCGGACAAGGTGGAGGATCTTTTGGAGGAAAAGGAGAGTGAGGGAGTTGGAGATGAAGGAGATGAGGAGCTTGAAGATGTGGAACGGGCAGATTCAGTCGATTGGGTGTGGGAGAAGGTACCAACCAGTGAAGCGGATGAAACCAATGGAGTGGAGATAGCAGGGGAGCAGCCAAGCAATGAAGTAGCTGAGGGTGGCAATGATGAAGTGGCTGGATAAGAGGGAGATGAAGAATCAGCAGCTGAAGGAGATAGTGATCCTTGGAAGCTCCTAGATAGTGAAGACAGCAATGTCAAGATGAGAGAGATAGCGGACCTGCTTAAGGAAGGTGCCATCATCATTGGAAGGGAAGCGAAATCTGGAGATGAGAATGAGAAGGCAAAGGAGGATCTCAGTGGAGATGAGGCTGAATCACCTACAGAGGAGTTGGGGAAAGGAAAGAGGGTGAAGAAACCAAACCCTCGGTATGCGCAACTGCTGATGACGTGCTGGAAGGACATCCATACCCACCTTCTACTCTCTGCCACAGCTACTGACCTAGTCTCCAATGAAGGAAAAGTGACCCACAACCTGCCCAAAGAACCAGTGAGCATCGAGGAAGCGCTAGAGGGTCCAGAAAGAGAGCAGTGGAAAGCAGCAATAGAGGAGGAGTTGAACACATTGGCTGAAAGGGGCACATGGGAGCTCATGCCTATGCCGGAAGGGAGGAAAGCCGTGGGGGTGAAGTGGATTTTTAAAATCAAGACCGGAGATATGGGGCAGCTGGAAAGGTTCAAAGCAAGGCTTGTAGCCAAGGGCTACACTCAGGTGGAGGGGAAAGACTACCAACAAAATGAGATCTACGCTCCAGTGAGCAAGTTGGCAACGGCACGGGTCTTTCTCAAGGTGGTAGCAGCAAGAAAATACTTCATGGTGCAGCTGGATATTAAAAACGCGTTCTTGTATGGGGTGTTGAAGGAGCACATCTACCTCGAGCAACCACCAGGGCATGACGACGGCTCGGGCAGAAAATGCAAGCTCAACAAGGCATTATATGGGCTGAAGCAGAGTCCTAGGGAGTGGTACATGGCGATGGATGAACGGCTGCTGCAAGGGGGATTTCAGAAAAGTGAGTGTGATAGGGCGTTCTACTGGAAGGGAGAAGGGAAGGAGAAGGTGTTCCTGGTGCTATATGTGGATGACATCTTGGTGGCTGGGGTGTTAGAGGAGGAGGTAGAGAAGGTGTGTGCTCATCTTGCGGAAGTTTTTCAAGTGAAGCAGATTCCGAGGACCACACTCTTTCTCGACATGAATCTGGAGCGACGTAAGGAGGAGAGGAAGATGTTCCTATACCAGCAGAAATATTGCAGCAGGGTGCAGCAGAGGTTTGGCAACGACTACACGAAGGCAATTTCTACACCACTGAGTGGGGTAGCTGAAAGCGACAGTGAAAGGGAGGAGGATGTCAACCAATGGGGCTGCAAAGAGAGAGCTCTGCAAGTATATCAGTCTATGGTGGGGTCTATCATGTATCCGGTCTCATGCACGCGCGTCGACATAGCATACGCAGCTAGCTATCTTGGGCAACAAGTGCAGCAGCAAGGGGAGAGAAAATGGAGAGAGATGAGGAGGACTATTGACTACCTACTGCAACATGAAGATGAGGGGCTGTTATTTGAAGGAGGTGAAGAGACCTTGGAGTTAGTGGGGTACGCGGATGCTTCACATGCATCCGACAAGAAAACAAGGAAGGGAGCATACGGTTACGCGTTTCTGCTCGGTGGGACAGCCATCATGTGGCAAGCGAAAAGGTTGGCTGACATAGCGCTCTCTAGTGCGGAAGCGGAGTACATGGCTCTGTTTTTCACGTGCCAAGAGAGGGTTTGGTTGAGAAGGCTACTCAAGGAGATGGAAATCAAGGTGGAAGGGCCGACAGTGATACGCACGGATAGCAAATCTGCCATCGACTTGGCTCACAACGACAATTGGCACGGGAGGACCAAGCATATAGATGTGAAGTATCATTGGGTGCGTTCAAAGGTGAGTAGCAAGGAGTTCAAGTTTGAATTCGTACGTACGGAGGCACAAGCAGCAGATTTTCTGACTAAGGTGTTACCAAGGGCTAATTTTGAGCGTTGCAAGAGAGAGGTTGGGATGCGTACTTTGGCTGAATTGCAGGGGAGTGTGGAGCAGGGCTAGAGGTGGTTCAAGTTGAAATGTGCGAGGGAGAGTGCATAAGCTGGTGGTTAGCAAACCACAGGGGAGATTGTTGCAGGTGGTTAGCTAACCACAACCTAAAGGGACCTACGTCGACCTAAGAAGAAATCGGTGTGACTAGCAGCGACTAAGGGGTAGTAAGGACCTAAGAAGAATATGAGCTACTTGTGTTGGGGCGGTAGATGAAGGAACACGGCAGCGGCAGAACCTATGGTGAGAAACGGAGAGAACAAGAGGGAGCGTGCGGATGTGGAGAAGATCAGGGCTGAAATGTCGAGATTTGAAGTGAAGTGAAGGGAAGTCACGCCGGGTCAAAGGCGCGTCCAAGGAAGTCCGAAATTCGAACTCGAGGCGCGTTCGGTGCATGGTTGGATTTGGAAATTGAGCCGAGTACAAGTCAGCTCGAAATTAGGCGCGGCGCGAGGGCGAAATCAGAAATCCTTTTGCTTATAACTTGCTTTGTGTTTTCTGTTTTTGTATGCCTTCTTCAATGAAATTACTTGAACTTTCTGCCTTGACGTTTTCCAGCAAATTCCTTCACACAGTTGAGGCCAGAGCTTCATATGCTTGTTACTAAGACTCTAAATAGTCTTCATAGTCTAGACTAAAGGCTGCGCACGTACAAGAGCTGGTATCAGAGTTGGTTTAAGGCGTGTTCTAGTGTTTTGAGGATAGGCGGAATATACTAAGTATGACGGACGATCATACTGAGGCAAGTTCAGGTTCGGGCTCCTCTGTGAGCATTGGAGGCTCAGAACTACAGGCCATCCTAACAGCGCTAGCACAAGCTAGATTGACGGCGAAGCCAACGATTATCATTTTTTCTAAATAGTAAAATGGACTAAAGTTAGACAACATATTCAGCTGATTCAAAAAAAAATCAAGCTTCAAGTGAAGATTACTATAAGTGAATTGAATCTAACGTGTAATAATTATTTTATATCTCCTAAAATTAGCTTTATGTCAAGATATTAACAAACATAAAAAAACCATGGTTATTTGTCATGTATTTTATTACACGCCTTTGTAATGGCATGGGCTAATAAAAAAACATGATACAATAAACGTGCGTATGAGCCTTTTGAATTTGAGAAACAACCGCACAAATTATAAAACATCTATTGCGAAAGCTGATATGGCATGCCAAAAACTACATAGAGGATTTCGAATGATGTGGCGACCATGTATTCGTGACTGTTTCTGATTCCTCAAAATTCTAGCGGGTGCCCGAATTTCGGAGGGGATGGGCGGGAAAATCGGTTTGGGGGTGTCATAATTATATTTATTATAACTGCATGTAGTTCTAGCTGTAGTGTAGTTATTAAGTTTGTAGGTGGTGCACCTCTTCACTTGTTTCCTTGCTATATGTATTTTGAACCCTATAGTGGACACACATTTCTCCCAACTCCTCTTCCAACTCACTCGATACTCACCCTAGGAGAAACCTGCTCGACATTCTAGTAGGGCCTAGGCTACTAAGCCTAGGCCCTAGTTTAATCTACTCGTTTGTTCTCGTTAATCTCTAAATCGGGGGAGCGGGGGCAAACGCGATCCATCCAATTATGAAAAACGCCCACGTGGCGAAGTCGGAGCAATTTAGATCGATTTAATTGAGAGAAACGCGATTTTTGCCGATGCGCGCGATCTCGCCAAAATCTAACAAGCAAACGAGGATTTCCATCGGGGGCGAAGTCGCTTCGTTTGGATACCTGACATGCGAAGATTGCTACCCCAGTCGCCCGCCAGAATCAGGCTTGATGGTCAAAGTGGGAGCGTTGCCACCAAATTGCCCATCAGCTTTGAAAAAAATGGTCTGGTGGGCAAACTTTGATGGTGGGCAAGCATGAGACTGCGATATCACTAAAGGCGTGTTAAATCCCACAACCTGAGTTACAAAAAAGGTCTTGAGGTGTTAACACTTCCCCTCCCGTGTCAAACTCATATCATATAGCTTGTCAAGGCTATAGTGGGGTAGACACTCTGGGGTATAGTTTCCTAGGGTTTCCTACTTGTACCCAACCTTGTTTGCTAGTTCATTCATTCCTCATTCTTCACATGGTATAGAGCAGGTTCCCTAGTGGGAACGCTTCCTTGGGCCCACCACTGAAAATTTCCTTTCTGACCGGAGCGCTAGTCGCTCCTGCCCGAGGCGCGCCTTTTTGCCGCCTTTCTAGGTCCCTAGTGGCCCCTAGCAGCCTCGTCGCCGCCCCTCACGCGGTTCCGTTACCGCCCCTACGCAGTCCCGTCGCCGCCCTTAGCGGCCCCGTCGCCGCCCCTAGCGGCCCCGTCGTCGCCTCTCACCCTTTGCGGCCCCGTCGCCACCCCTACGCGGCCCCGTCGCCGCCCCTAGCGGCCACGTCGCTGCCCCTATCGGCCCCGTCGCCGACTCTCACCCTACGCGGCCCTATCGCCGCCCATACGTGGCCCCGTTGTCGCCCCTAGCGGCCCCGTCGCCGCCCCTACCAGCCCCGTCGCCGCCTCTCACCCTGGCCTCATCGCCACCCCTAAACGGCCCCGTCGCCGCCCCTATGCGACCCTGTCGCGGCCTCTAAGACCCTGTCGCCGCCACTACACGGCCTCGACGCCGCTCCCCTCCCTAAACAGCCCCGTCGCCGCCCCTAGCGGCCCCAACGCCGCCCCTAGCGGCCCCAACGCCGCCCCTACCGAGCAGCCCAGCAGCAGAGCCGCCGAGCCGCCGAGCAGCCGAGCCGCCGAGCCGCGCAGCAATCGAGCCGCCGAGCTGCTCAGCAGCCGAGCCCCCGAGCCGCCGAGCCGCCAAGCCGCCGAGCCGCCTAGCAGTTGAGCCGGCGAGCCGCCTAGTAGCCAAACCGCCGAGCCGCTCGACAGCCGAGCCGCCTAACAGCCGAGCCGCTAAGCAGCCGAGCCGCCCTGTCGTCGAGCCGCTCCTCGTCCTATCGGCGCGCCCCTGCCCTACTTACTCGGACTGGTGAGCTCACTCCTTGCTAGGCCACTGCAATCATGGCTGTCAGAATATTATCTTATGTTCTAGCATGTAGTGGGGTGCTCTATAGCGAGTACAACCCTTCTAGGGTTTGCTATTTGTATCCTCATTCTTGCTAGTTCAACCCCTCTTTGCCTAAACTATTCTTGCCTAGCTAGGTCGTTCCTAGCTATGGCTCCTCTCATTACCTCACTATCTTCACATGGTTTCAGAGCGGTTACGCTCTCGGCCTGTGGGTACCACTGCTTCCACTGCTACACGCTCTGTCGCACGCCCCGTGGCGTGCGACGCATTTTCAATCTCGCCGCGCGCCACGGGGCGCGCGGCCCCTTTCTTTTCTGGCGCGCCGCCCGCTGCCCCGTCGCGCCGCCCAGGGGAGCCGCGCGCGGCCCCGTGCCCGTCCGTTACGACGGTCTGGGGTGTCGTGTGCGGTTCCGTCGCCGCCCGCAGCAACCACGTCCCCACCCGCCGCGGCCCCGTCTCCGCGGGCAGCGGCCTAGTCGCCACCCGCGCAGCCCCGTCGCCGCCGCAGCTGTCATAACATAAATATATATAGCTTATACTATTGTGTAGGCTGTAGTGGGGTATCCCATAGGGGGTACAACCCAGTTAGGGTTTCCTATTTGTACTCACTTCATTCATAGTTCATTTCATTCTTGTTTTATTCTCAACATGGTATCGAGCAAGTTCCCCCGTGGGAACTGTGTTTAGGGCCCACCACCTTCAAAACTTTTTTCTGCCCCGAGCGCGCTCCGGGCCCCCGCTCTCTCTTTTTTGGCCTGCCCTGCGGCCCCCTAGACGCCCGCGCGAGCCGCCCTTTGCCGCCCGCGCACCGCCCGTCTCGGCACCTAGCCGCCCGCGCCCGCCTGTTCAGGCACCTAGCCGCCCGCGCGCCGCCCGTCCCGGCCCTTAGCCGCCCACGCGCCGCCCGTCAGGGCTCCTAGCCGCTCGCGTGCCGCCCGTTCAGGCCCCTAGCCGCCAGCGCGCCCGCCCGTTCAGGCCCCTAGCCACCAGCGTGCCCGTCCGTTCAGGCCCCTAGCCGCAAGCGAGCCGCCCGTCTAGGCCCCTAGCCGCCCGCGCGCCGCCTGTTCAAGCCCCTAGCCGCGCATGCGCCGCCCGTTCAGGCCCACAGCCGCCCGCGCGCCGCTCGTTCAGGCCCACAGCCGCCCGCGCGCCGCCTGTCACGGCCCCTCGCCGCCTGCACGCCGCCCGTCCCGACCCCTAGCCACCCACGCGCGCCCGACCCGGCCCTTAGCCGCCCTAGAGCGCCCGTCCCGGCCCTTAGCCACCTACGCGCGCTCGTCCCGGCCCCTAGCCGCCCACGCAAGCCCGTCCCGGCCCTTAGCCGCCCTCGAGCGCCCATCCTGGCCCCTAGCCACCCACGCGCGCCCGTCCCGGCCTCTCACCGCCCGCGCGCTGCCCGACCCAGTCCCATGCCGCCCTGTGCCGCCCGTCCCGGCTGCGCTCTCCCGTCCCTGCTGCACGACGCTGTCCCGGCCCCCACGCCGCCTGCTAGCCGCCGTGCGACCTGAGCCGCCCGAGCTGTCTCCGTAGCTGAGGAGCCAAGCTGCCCGAGCCGCCTGTGCCGCTAACTGCCCGAGCCGCCCGAGCCGCCAGAGCCGCCCGAGCCACCCGGGTCGCCTACACCGCCTGTGGAGCCGAGCCGCTGGTCCCGCGGAGCTACAGTTGCTCCTGAGCCGGGTGAGCTGCTGTGTTGCTGTGCTGCTGTGCTACTGAGCGACCTGACCCGTCCTGTCTGGTGAGACCGTCGACTGCTGCCATGGCTACCCCTTGTGTCCTAGCTTTTGACGCTGAGGGTCGCGCCATTGACTTTGAGGTCTGGGTCGACGACCTGCAACTGTTCTTACAGTGCGATAGAGCAGACGGCCTTTCTCTCTTTGACCTCACTTCTGGCGCCTCTCCAGCCCCTGCTGCTGATGCTGACCCCACTGTTTGCTCTTAGTGGGCCACCCGCGATGCTGCTGCACGTCTTGCTGTGCGTTGCCACCTCCCTACCTCTGAGCGCGCGCACTTTAGTCAGTACAAGAGTGCTCAGACCTTGTACGACGCTATAGTTGCGCGCTACTCTTCCACTGCCACTGCTGCACTGAGCCGTCTCATGCTTCCCTACCTCTTTCCTGACCCTTGTGCCTTTCCCACTGTCGCTGACCTCATCACGCACCTCCGCTCTAGTAACATTCGCTACCGCGCCGCCCTTCCTGCTGAGTTCTGCGCCAAGAACCCCCCCTCCATGTACATCACTCTCTACTACGTAGTCGCACGCCTCCCTGACTCTCTTCGCGTAGTCAGGGACCACTTTCTCTCAGTCTGTCCCACCACCCTCACTGTCGACCTCCTCGAGAAGGCCCTCCTAGCGGCGGAGAAAAGCATCGTCGTTGTAGGAGCTTCTCGTGGTGACCCTCGCACCCCCATCTTTGAGGGGTGCTCTCCTTCCCCCCTGCTGCCCTCTGTTGCCTCTGCTGCTGCTGCCGACCTGCTTGGTCTTGAGTCGGTCGGCGCGGCGTCTGCCCCTAGCGGGAGACGCCGCTCTGGCAGGGGCAAGGGGGGCAAGGGTGCGGGTGGAGCTGGAGGAGGCGGTGGAGGTGGCGGTGGAGGCGGCGGAGGGAGTGGGGGTGGCGGCGCGAGTGTTGGAGGGGGTGGTGGTGGCAGTGGCAGCGGCGGCGGAGGCGGCGGTGGTGGCGGCAGCAGTGGTGGTGGTGGCAGCGGTGGAGGTGGAGGCGGCGGAGGAGGCGTAGGAGGAGGCAGTGGTGGCGGAGGGGGTGGAGCTGGTCGGAGTGGTACCTCGCAGCGGAGCAGAGCTGGTAGCGGTCAGCTCGAGCAGCAGCAGCAGCAGCAGCAGCAGCGTTCGCGGGACATCCCTCCGCACCAGCAGTTCTGTGAGTGGTACACTCGGCGTTAGAGGGGTGGGGGTGCTGGTCCGTGTACCTACGTCCTTCGTTCCGGCGACCGCGCGGGTGAGCAGTGTGGGGGTGCCCACCCCACCCACCGCTACTTTGGCCGCCTGACGGACGCTAGGCGTCAACAGTTCCCCGAGGCTAGTGAGATTCCCCGCTGGGATGAGCTTCTTAGGGCTGGTGTAGCGATCTTTGATATTGACTTCGATGCTATCCTTGCAGCTATGTATGCTGTGACTATTAGTGAGGAGGGTGACTGTTACCGGTGTTTCCCGCCCGACCCGAGCATTGGTACTACTGCGCTAGGTGCTTGTGAGGCTGCTGCTCTAGGTGCCAGTGCGTCTGCGCTCTCAGGTACCGGTGAGATTGCGCTCTCAGGTACTGCGTTGCCTCCTTCTTTCGAGACCGCACCACCCTCACGCCGCTTCGCCGGCCGGTTGCGGTCTCCCTTGCTGACCCCTCTGGGGGTCCTGTCCTCTCTCACTTTTCCACTGTCCTCCCGTGTCCGGCTGCCCCCTCGGGCACCCTCTCTGGTCTGTACCTTCCCTCATTCTCGACAAACTTGGTGAGTGGTGCGGACCTACAGGATGCGAGGGTTCACCAGTTCACTCCTGCGAGTTAGCGGGTGACCCACTGCACGGACGCACGCACCCGCCGGCACCTGGCCACGTTCTCGCGTCGGCCGAGGTCGAGCCTCTACACCCTGACCACTACGTCTCCTCCTGTCCGTGCGTCTGGTCAGGTAGCTGCGTCAGGTCAGGTGTTTGCTGTTGTGTCCCGGTCAGGCCCTGAGTCTGCCCCCTTTCGTGTCGCCTCCTGTCTCACGAGACCCTCCTGTGGCACCACCGTCTAGGCCACCCCTCCTTGCCCCGTCTTCGGAGCATGGCTTCCCGTGTCCTTGTCTCTGGTCTTCCCCAGTCTCTCTCTCCCCTTCCTTCGGGGCCAGGACCTTCCTGTGTCCCCTGTGTCGAGGGGCGCCTCCGGGCTGCTCCTCACTCCTCCCAGTTCCCCGTGAGAGAGGCTCCTCTACAGACACTTCACATGGACGTGTGGGGCCCAGCCCCCGTCCGTGGGCGGGGTCACGAGCGCTACTTCCTTTTGGTGGTTGACGACTACTCGCGTTACACCACAGTCCTCCCCTTGCGCAGCAAGGGTGCTGTCACTGAGGTGCTGATCGACTGGATCCGCGAGGCTCGTCTCCAGCTCAGGAGGAGCTTCGGCTCGGACTTTCCTGTTCTGGGTCTGCACTCGGACAGAGGCGGGGAGTTCTCCTCTCGTCTTCTGCGAGACTACTGTCGTGCACGGGGGATCCGCCAGACCTTCACGCTTCCGGACTCTCCACAGCAAAATGGGATTGCTGAGCGCCGCATTGGCATGGTCATGGATGTCGCTCGTACGTCCATGATGCATGCGGCTGCCCCCTCAGATGTGTCCCAGGTAGACGCAGTTGACCCGGTTGAGGTTACTGGTGACTCTGGTGCTGCTGCGGGTGCTGAGCCTGGGGGTGCTGCCTCTGGGGGTGCTGTGCGGGGGGGTGCCGAGCTTGGGGGCGCTACTGCGGAGGGTGCTGAGGTTGGGGGTGCTGAGCCGGGGGGTACTATGCCTGGAGTTGCTGAGCTATGGGGTGCTGAGTCTAGGGGTGCTGAGTCTGGAGCTGCTGAGCCTAGGGGTGCTGGGTCTGGAGCTGCTGGGCCTGGGGGTACTACGTCTGGAGCTGCTGAGCCTGGGGGTGCTGCGTCTGGGGCTGCTGAGCCTAGGGTTTCTCCTGGTGCTGCGTCTCGGCGGGAGCCACTCTCTCCACAGGAGCTGCGCGAGTGGTTTGCTCGCCGCTGGAGGCGTGCTGCTGGAGCTAGAGCTTCTTCGACCGTCGAGGGTGCTGGTACCGCCGGTCCCGGAGCTGCTGGGCCTGCGGGTCCTACTGGAGCTGGAGCTGCTGGAGGTGTTGGTGCTGAGACTACAGCTGTCTGTCCTGGCGGTGGTTCTGCTACTGGTGCTGCTGGAGGTCCTGCCGCTCAGGGTGCTGGTGCTGTCCCTGCTGAGCCTGGAGCTGCCGCGCGGCCTCGGTCGTACTTCGTTCCGCTCCTGCAGCAGGTTCTTGGTCTTTCTCCTCCGGTAGAGTGTCCACAGCCTGTCCAGTCGCAGTCATTGTTGGAGCCTTCCTCCCCACTGCCTGCTCCCTCTCCTTACACTGGTCCTACTGGAGGTCTTGCTGAGCGTCGTGAGCCTGCGTCTCGTCCCGCGTCGCCTGTTCGTGCTGCTCGCGCTAGTGGTCGCGGTTCGCGTCAGCGTCCTCCTCCTGTCCCTGGCACGCACTGGATGTCTCTGCGTCCGTCCACTGCTCCTCTGCGTGCCCCTTTGCCTTCTCCTCCTGAGTCCTCTCTTCCTGCGCTTGCCGACCCTGAGTCGGACTCCCTTCGTGCTGCCAGTCCTACTGTCACGCGTCTGCTTGCTACTGTCGTCACTGACCCCTCTTTTCAGTCCATTGCTGCGTCTGCTCTTGTCGCTGAGCTCGTCGACTTTGCTGCTGCGTGTCGTCTAGACTACGCTGCTAGTCTTGTTGCTGAGTTTGTGTCTGTCTATCCTCCGTTCGTCGGGGGTGAGTGTGCTCTTGGCACGGACGTCCTAGAGGACAGGCAGGAGGAGTTACAGTGTCTGGCTGCTGCTTCACCTCATCTCCCGTCTGTACTACTTGCTCCTGAGGGAGACCCGGATGCACTAGACATCCCGACTCCGCGCTCTTAAGAGGAGGCCGTAGAGGGTCCCTACTCCTCTCAGTGGCAGGCAGCTATGACTGCAGAGATGGCTTCTTGGAAGTCCACAGCCACCTACGTTGACGCGGTTCCCCCTCCTGGGGTGAACATCGTCAGTGGCATGTGGATCTTCAGGGTGAAGCGGACACCGGGCTCTCCACCTGTCTTCAAGGCGCGGTACGTCGCTCGTGACTTCAGTCAGCGGCAGGGAGTTGACTACTTTCAGACCTTCTCTCCCACCCCGACGATGACCACTCTTTGGGTGCTGCTGCAAATAGCCGCTCAGCGCGACTACGAGCTTCACTCTCTCAACTTCAGCACTGCGTTCTTGCAGGGTAGCCTGCACGAGGAGATCTGGCTGCGCCATCCACCTGGCTTCACTGGGACTTTCCCTCCTGGCACCCAGTGGAGCCTCCGACGGCCAGTCTACGGTCTCCGCCAGGCACCGCGTGAGTGGCACGACACACTGAGGACTACGCTTGCGGCTCTTGGGTTTGCAGCTTCTACTGCTGACCCGTCGCTGTTTCTGCGCACCGACACTTTACTGCCGCCGTTCTACATCCTCGTGTACGTCGACGACTTGGTCTTTGCCACAACGGACACTGCTGGACTCGCCTACGTGAAGTCGGAGCTGCTGAAGAGACACACGTGCACAGACCTGGGTGAACTGCGCAGCTACCTTGGCTTGCAGATCACTCGGGACAGAGCACGCCGCACCATTACCTTGACTCAGTCACACATGGTGCAGCAGGTCCTTCAGCGCTTCGGCTTCACGTACTCCTCGCCTCAGGCCACTCCTCTGTCTACCCGCCACTCGCTCTCAGCTCTGCCTTCGGATGAGTCCGTAGAGTCGAGTGGCCCGTACCCAGAGCTTGTTGGCTGCCTCATGTACCTGATGACCTGCACACGACCTGACCTTGCATACCCTCTGAGCATTCTTGCACGCTATGTTGCTCCTGGGAGACACCGACCAAAGCACATGGCTGCAGCAAAGAGGGTATTGCGCTACCTGTGCAGTACGTCGGGCATGGGGCTAGTGCTTGGAGGGCGGAGTCCAGTGGTCCTTACAGGTCACGCGGACGCTTCTTGGGCTGACGACCAGGCTACGCAGTGGTCGTCACAGGGTTACACCTTCAGCCTTGGTTCCGGCTCTGTCTCGTGGCGGGCTACTCGTTCGTCTTCGGTTCTCAGCTCCAGTTGTGAGGCTGAGATCTACGCAGGGGCCATGGCTGCACAGGAGCTTCGCTGGCTCACCTACCTGCTGACTGACCTTGGAGAGCCGCCTCGTTCTCCTCCAGTGCTGTACGTAGACAACAAAGCCATGCTGGCCTTGTGTCGAGAGCAGCGTCTGGAGCACAGAACGAAGCACATTGCTCTTCGCTACTTCCTTGCTCGTGAGCTAAAGCAGCGTGGACAGTTGCGGCTTGCGTACGTGGCCTCTGAGGCCAACACTGCTGATGTGTTCACCAAGGCACTCGCGCCTTGTGACCATCAGCGCTTCTGCACCCAGCTGGGTCTTGTGCCTGTCTTGCCTCACTTGCTCTCCTCTTGACTTTACTTGTACTGTGACATATATATACTTGCTCCTGCTTGTCTAGCTTTATATATATATGTGTGTACTCTTGCATGTGAATTGGCCTTTGGCCTTGCTCTTGTGCTCGGACTGTGTGGTGACTTTGTGATCCACCCCGAGCTTTGCTTTGTCTTGCTTGACTGGTCTTGTGACCCCTTGTTCTCTCCCACTTTGCCTATGGGGGTGTGTCAGAACATATAGATATAGCTTATACTATTGTGTAGGCTGTAGTGGGGTATCCCATAGGGGGTACAACCCAGTTAGGGTTTCCTATTTGTACTCACTTCATTCATAGTTCATTTCATTCTCGTTCTATTCTCAACAGCAGCGGCCCCGTTGCCCTACTCGCGGCCCCGGCCCCGTTCCCCTACCTGCGACTCTCTCAGGTCCGTGGTGGGCCCCTTTCTCCACACGCCCCCCCCCCCCCCCCCCCCCCTCCCCTCCCCTCATTTCCCGTCGTCTGTCGAGGCGACCTGAGGGGGCCGCTTGCGGCGACGGGTGTGTGTCGGGGGGGTGGGACTGTTTGGGGAATCTGCATGGAGGTTGCCGTACTGTTGTCCGCAGCACCTGTAGTCCGGGGCGCTGTCCCAGTAGCCCAGTGAGCTAGACTTCTACGCCAGCCGCCCGTGGGTCCGTTGCTCGTCTGCCGCTTCTTTAGCCGCGGGGCCTGTTACTCCTGTAGTCCGGGCGCTTAGTCCGGTAGCCGCTGTGCCAGTCTGCCTCCTGTTGCCCGTGTGTCTGCAGCGTCAGCCGTCGCCTCCTATCTCCTCTCCCCTCACTCTCTCTCCTCCTCCTCACTTGCCCGTTGTGACTACCACTAGCTTTGCTCATAATTGTGAACTCTAAACTATTTCTTCTTGAACTTGTGCTCAGATTGTATGGTGACATTGTGATCCACCTTGAGCTTGTACTGCTTTGCCTGCTCTCTTGATTAAACCCCACTTTGGCTATGGGGGTGTGTCAGAATATTATCTTATGTTCTAGCCTGTAGTGGGGTGCTCTATAGCGAGTACAACCCTTCTAGGGTTTGCTATTTGTATCCTCATTCTTGCTAGTTCAACCCCTCTTTGCCTAAACTATTCTTGCCTAGCTAGGTCGTTCCTAGCTATGGCTCCTCTCATTACCTCACTATCTTCACAATGGCTACCCCCAGTGTTCTTACCTTTGATACTGAGGGTCGCACTGTTGACTTTGAGGTTTGGGTCGATGACCTCCAGCTGTTCTTCTAGTGCGACAGGGCAGACGGCCTCTCCCTGTTCGACCTCACCTCTGGTGCCTCCTTTGCCCCGCCTGCTACTGCTGACAGCAATGTTTGCTCATAGTGGGCGACACGCAATGCTGCTCCTTGTCTTGCTTTGTGTCGCCACTTACCGACCACTCAGCGTGCGCACTTTAGCCAGTACAAGAGTGCTCAGACCTTGTACGACGCTCTAGTTGCACGCTACTCTTCCCCTGCCACTGCTGCACTGAGTCGCCTCATGCTACCGTACCTCTTTTCTCACCTTGCTGCCTTTCCCACAGTCGCTGACCTCATTACGCACCTCCGCACTAGTGACACTCGCTACTGCGCTGCGCTTCATACTGAGTTCTGCGTCAAGAACACCCCTCCCCCCCCCCATGTACATCACCCTCTACTACATAGTCACCCGGCTCCCTAACTCTCTTTGCTTAGTCAGGGACCAATTCCTCTCAGCTTGCCCCACCACACTCACCGTTGACCTCCTCAAGGAGCGCCTCCTAGCCGCAGAGAAGAGCATAGTCGCTATAGAAGCCTCTCGTGATGACCCTCGCACCCCCGTCTTTGAGGGGTGTTCCCCCTCCCCCCTCTTGCCCTCTATTGCTTCTGCTGCTACTGCCGACCTCGTTGGTTTCTACGGGGTCGGCGCTGCGTCTGCCCCTAGCGGGAGACGCCGCACCAGCAAGGGCAAGGGGGGAAAGGGAGCTAGAGGGGCTAGCGAGGGCGGTGGAGGTGGTGGTGGAGGCAGTGGAGGGGGTGGGGGTGGTGGTGGGAGTGGTGGCGGGGGTGGCTACGGGGGTGGCAGTAGTGGAGGTGGAGGAGGCGGCGGTGCTGGCGGAGGGAGCGGAGGCGGCGGAGGTGGCGGAGGCGGCGGCAGCGGTGGAGCTGGTCGCGACTCTGCGCAGAGGAGTGGGTCCGGTGGTGGTCCGCGCCAGCAGCAGCAGCGCAGTCGTGAGACCCTGTCCCCCGAGCAGCTTCGTGAGTCGTACGCTGCGCGTCAGCGCGGTGGGGGTACTGGTCCCTGCACTTACGTCCTCCGTACCGGCGACCGCGCTAGTGAGCAGTGCGGGGGTCCGTACTCCACGCAGCGCTGCTTCGGCCGCCTGACGGACGCGTGGCCTTGCCAGTTCTCTGAGGCGTCAGAGATCCCTCCCTGGGGAGATCTGTCTAGGGCGGGGGTTGCCATCTTTGATCTTGACAATGATGCTATCGTTGCTGCCATGTATGCTGTGTCTACTAGTGTTGAGGGTGACTGTTACCTGTGTATACCACCTGACCCAGGCATTGAGGGTAGTGCTCTAGGTGCTGGTGAGGCTTCTGCTCTAGGTGCTAGTGCGTCTGCTGCCCTAGGTGCTGGTGCGTTTACTGCCCCAAGTGCTGGTGAGTCCACTCTCTCATGTACTACCTCGGCTCAGGCCTTGCACACCTTCACCCTTGACTTGGGTGCTTCCCGCTCCTTCTTTCGAGACCGCACCACGCTTACGCCACATAGTCGCTCGTTTCAGTCTCCCTGGCGGACCCGTCTAGGGGTCCTATCCTTGCTAGCTTCTCCACTGTCTTACCGTGCCCGGCAGCCCCCTCTGGCACCCTGTCAGGTGTCTACCTCCCCTCGTTCTCTACGAACTTGGTGAGTGGAGCGGACCTACAGGATAGGGGGGTTGACCAGTTCACTGCTCTCAGTCAGCGGGTGACCCAATGCACGTGTGCTCAGACAGGCCGACACTTTGCCACGTTCACTCGTCGGCCAGGGTTGAGCCTGTACACCCTTACTACTGAGTCTCCTTCGGCTGCTGAGTGTGGCCACGTAGCTGCGTCGAGTCAGGTGTTTGCTGCAGCGTCCAGGTTTGGTCCTGAGTCTGCTCTTTGCTCGTGTTGTCTCCTGCCCCACCAGACTCTCCTTTGGCACCACCGTCTCGGTCACCCCTCCCTGCCTCGTCTCTGAGGCATGGCCTCGCGTGTCGTTGTCTCTGGTCTCCCCCGGTCTCTCCCTCCCCTACCTCCGGGCCCTGCCCCTACCTACGTCCCCTGTATTGTGGGGCGACAACGCGCCGCCCATCACTCCTCCGAGTTTCCTTCGATAGAGGCTCCGCTGCAAACTCTCCACATGGATGTGTGGGGCCCGCCCGCGTTTGTGGACAGAGGCACGAGCGTTACTTCCTGTTGGTGGTTGACGACTACTCGCGTTACACCACAGTCTTCTCCTTGCGCAGCAAGGGTGACGTCACTGAGGTGTTGATCGACTGGATCCGCGCAGCTCGTCTCCAGCTGAGAGAGAAATTCGGCTCAAACTTTCCTGTTCTACGTCTGCACTCTAGCAGAGGCGGGGAGTTTTCCTCTGCCCGTCTGGTAGCCTTCTGTCGTGCACAGGGCATCCGCCAGACCTTCACGCTTCCGGCCTCTCCACAGCAAAATGGGATTGCTGAGCACCGCATTGGCATGGTCATGGACGTTGCTTGTACGTCCATGATCCATGCGGGTGCCCCCCATTTTCTTGCTCCGGGGCCTGCCCCTACCTGCGTCCCCTGTATCGTGGGGCGACAACGCGCCGCCCATCACTCCTCCAAGTTTTCTTCGACAGAGGCTCCGCTGCAGACTCTCCACATAGACGTGCGGGGCCCCACTCGCGTCCGTGGACAGAGGCACGAGCGTTACTTCGTGTTGGTGGTTGACAACTACTCGCGTTACACCACAGTCTTTCCCTTGCGCAGCAAGGGTGACGTCACTGAGGTGTTGATCGACTGGATCCGCGAAGCTCGTCTCCAGCTAAGAGAGAAATTTGGCTCAAACTTTCCTGTTCTACGTCTGCACTTTGGCAGAGGCGGGGAGTTTTCCTCTGCCCGTCTGGAAGCCTTCTGTCGTGCACAGGGCATCTGCCAGACCTTCACGCTTCCGGCCTCTCCACAGCAAAATGGGATTGCTGAGCGCCGCATTGGCATGGTCATGGACGTTGCTCGTACGTCCATGATCCATGCGGCTGCCCCCCATTTTCTGTGGCCGTTTGTGGTTCAGTACGCAGCGTATCAGCTCAACCTTCAGCCTTGGGTCTCCTTGCAAGAGACCTCTCCCACCTTGCAGTGGACGGGGAAGGTTGGTGATGCGTCAGCGTTTCGGGTCTAGGGATCTTGGACGTTTGTCCGCGACTTGTCTGCGGACAAGCTGTCCCCTCGTGCTGTTCCATGCGTCTTCCTTGGCTTCCCCCCAAACGCGCCTAGTTTGCAGTTCTACCACCCCACCTCGCGACGTGTCCTGTCCTCCCAGGACGTCACCTTTGACGAGTCGGTACCTTACTACCGTCTCTTCCCCTACCGCACTGTTCCCTCCCCCCGCCACCGCTCTTCCTTGCGCTTGGTCCTCCCCAGATAGACCCCCTCCCCCCCCAGGGTCCTGCCCCGTCAGGTGTGTCCCAAGTAGACACAGTCGAGCCTGTCGAGGTAGCAGTTGACTCTGGTGCTACTAGAGGTGCTGAGCCTGCAGGTGTCGGGTTTGGAGGTGCTGAGTCTAGGGGTGCTGAGCTTGGGGGTGCTGAGTCTCGGGGTGCTGAGTCTGGGGGTGCGGAGCCTGGGGGTGCCGAGCCTCGGGGTGCGGAGCCTAGGGGTGCGGAGCCTAGGGGTGCTTGGTCTGCTCGTGTGGCCGCCGGCGGTGCTTCGTTGAGGCGGGAGCCACTCTCTCCACAGGAGCTGCGCGAGTGGTTTGCCCGGAGCTAGAGCCGTGCTGAAGGAGTTGGAGGTACTACTGTTGCTGTTGGTCCCGGAGGTACTCGTACTGGTGGAGCTGGAGCTGCTGAGGGCGCTGGCACTGGTGCTTCTGAGGGTGCTGGAGTTGGCGCTGTTGGAGCTGGAGGTACTAATTGCGGTGGTGCTGCTGCCGGGGGTACTGGTGCTGTCCCTGCTGGTTCTAGAGACGCTGCTCGGCCGAGGCCGTACTTTGTTCCGCTCCTCGAGCAAGTTCTTGGTCTCCCGCCCTCTACTAGTCCTGCTCCTCTTTTAGAGTGTCCGCAGCCTGTCCAGTCGTAGTCACAGTTACAGCCCGCCTCCCCTCTACCTGCTCCTTCTCCCTACACTAGACCCATTGGAGGTCTTGCTGAGCGTCGTAAGCTTGCGTCTCCTCCTGCGTCGCCTGTTCGTGGTGCTTGCACTATTCGTCATGTTCCGCGTTCGGGTCCTCCTGCGGTCCAAAGCACCCACCAGATGGCACTACATCCTTCCACTGGACCTCTGCGTGTCCCGTTGCCGTCTCCTCTAGAGTCCTCTCTTCCTGTTCTTGCTGACCCTGGGTCTGACTCTCTTCGTGCTGCCAGTCCTACTGTCCTGCGTCTTGTGGCTACTGTTGTCACTTACCCTTCCTTTGAGTCCACTGCTGCGTCTGCCTTAGTGGCTGAGCTTGTCGCCTTTGCAGCTCGCTGTCGCCTAGACTATGCCACTAGTCTCGTTGCTGAGTCTGAGTCTGTTTGTCCTCCGTCCATCGGGGGTGAGTGTGCCCTTAGCACGGACGTCCTTGAGGATAGGCAGGAGGAGTTTTAGTGTTTTGCTGTTGCTTTGCCTCATCTCGTATCCACGCTGATTGCCGCTGAGGGAGACCCGGATGCACTTGACATCCCGACTCCTCGATTGTACGCTGAGGCGATTGAGGGTCCGTACTCCTCTCAGTGGCAGTCAGCCATGGATGCACACATGGCTTCCTGGAAATCCACAGGCACCTACGTCGACGAGGTTCCCCCACCTGGGGCGAACATCGTTAGTGGCATGTGGATTTTTAGGGTGAAGCGGCCGCCTGGTTCTCCGCCTGTCTTCAAGGCGCGTTACCTGGCTCAAGGCTTCAGCCAGCGGCAGGGAGTTGACTAGTTTCAGACCTTCTCTCCCACCCCGAAGATAACCACTCTTCGGGTGCTACTACACGTTGCCGCTCAGCGTGACTACGAACTTCACTCTCTTGACTTCAGCACAGCTTTCTTGCAAGGCAGTGTGCACGAGGAGATCTGGCTATGCCGCCGTCCTGGCTTCACTTGGTCATTCCCTCCCGGTACTCACTGGAGCCTCTGGCGGCCGGTCTACGGTCTTCGCCAGGCGCCACGTGAGTGGCACGACACACTAAGGACTACACTTGCGGCTCTTGGGTTTGCTCCTTCTACTGCTGACCCGTCGGTGTTTCTACGCACCGACACCTCATTGCCGCCGTTCTACATCCTCGTGTACGTCGACGACTTGGTCTTTGCCACTGCTGACACTGCTGGACACGCCCACGTGAAGTGTGAGCTGCAGAAGAGACACACGTGCACAGACCTGGGTGAACTGCGTAGCTACCTTGGCTTGCAGATCACCCGGGACAGAGCACAGCGCACCATTACCCTGACTGAGTCACACATGGTGCAGCAGGTCCTTCAACGCTTCGACTTCACGTACTCCTCACCTCAGGCCACTCCTCTGTCTAGTCGCCACTCGCTCTCAGCTCTACCTTCGGATGAGACCGTAGAGCCGAGTGGCCCGTACCCAGAGCTTGTTGGCTGCCTCATGTATCTGATGACCTGCACACGACCTGACCTTGCATGCCCTCTTAGCATCTTGGCACGCTATGTTGCTCCTGGGAGACACCGACCAGAGCACATGGCTGCAGCGAAGAGGGTGTTGCGCTACTTGTGCAGTACGTCGAGCATGGGGCTAGTGCTTGGAGGGCGACGTTGAGTAGTCCTCACAGATCACGCTGACGCTTCTTGGGCTGACGACCAGGCTACGCAGCGGATGTCACAGGGTTACACCTTCAGCCTTGGCTCCGGCTCTGTTTCGTGGCAGTCTACCCACTCGTCTTTTGTTCTTGGCTCCAGCTGTGAGGCTGAGATCTACGCGGGGGCCATGGCTGCACAGGAGATACGCTGGCTCACCTACCTGCTAACTGACCTCAGAGAGCAGCCTGGTTCTCCTCTAGTTTGTACGTAGACAACAAGGCCATGCTGGCCTTGGGTCGAGAGCAAAGAGTGGAGCACAGAATGAAGCACATTGCTCTCCGGTACTTCCTTGCTCGTGAGCTGCAGCAGCGTGGTCAGCTGCGTCTTGCTTACGTGGCCTCTGAGGCCAACACTGCTGATATCTTTACCAAGGTGCTTCCGCCTGGTGATCATCAGCGCTTCTGTACGATGCTAGGTCTTGTGTCTACTCGGCCTCACTTGCTCACTTCTTGACTGTGCATTTACTGTGATCTTTCTATACGTGCACTTGCTTGTTTACCTTTACATATGATCCTGCATGTGAACTGGCCTTTTGGCCTTGGCTCTTGTGCTCGGATTGTGTGGTGACGTTGTGATCCACCCTGAGCTTGCTTTGCTTTGCGTGACTGGTCTTGTGACCTCATGTTCTCCCCCAATTTGCTTATGGGGGTGTGCCAAACTCATATCATATTGCTTGTCTAGGCTATAGTGGGGTAGACACTATGGGGTACAGTTTCCTAGGGTTTCCTACTTGTGCCCAACCTTGTTTGCTAGTTCATACATTCCTCATTCTTCACATCCCGAACCTGGGTGGTTACCAGATGTCCAACTAGTCAACGTGAGAAAGTCGCACGTAATACAGGGAAGGATTGCAAGGGTCCTTAGTAACAAGTTTGCCTGTAGGTGTGCACACCTAGCAGGAAAATGTAATTCAGGTTGATAGAAATCGGGGAGTTCCTATCCTACTATTAGCCTGCACTACTACTTAGATCTTGATTTTTTCTCCAACTACTGCAGTCTCAATCTCAATCTTTTCTCGTTGTGACGCACTCCCGTCGCATTAGGGCTTCTCCCCTCCGTTGCCTACGCTCATCCTTCCTGTCGCCTAAACATATTCACTTCCGTCGCCTACGCTCATCCCTCCCGTTCACGTAAACATATTCCCCTGTGTCGCCCATGCTCATCCCTCCCATCGCGTAAAGATATCCCCCCCCCCCCCCCCCCCCTGTGGCCCACGCCCACTCCCCTCCCGCCTCCTTCGATCTTTCCCCTCAATCATCCACGCTCACTCCATTGCGTTGTATTCGCTCATTCCCCGCTGTCGTAGATGCTCACTCCCTCCTGTCGTGTTCTCTCACTCCCCTTCCGCCGCCCACGCGCACT